AAATAATAAGAACCAGCACTTAAGCGCGTCACGTAGGCGGTGGTAACGTGCCCCGTCCTATGGTTCGTAAATAATTTCGCTCACCAGGGGGTGATTAGTGTGCCTGGTGAGCCTGCCGTAATGGACCAAGGCATGGCGTTGGAAGACAATGTTTAAAAGAGTCCAGCTGAAGGCCCCAGAGGAGAGCATCATTTCGCGCAAACCACGGCGCCTTTGTCAGAAAACGCGGTAATTTGTTCTGTCGCACTCGAAGTGCTGATGCTATGGCAGTGGGAGCCCCAGGTTCAAGCAGCAGACGCGTAGGTCATTATTTGGCTGGATGTAAGACAAATAAAATTTCCGTTTGTTTCGCAGGGAAAGAGTGCTCTTGCCGCGGGGTAAAGGATAAAGCGACTTGGTTGCTGCCTTAACCTTCGCCACTACATAGTCCACGTGAGGCCGCCAGGGATATTGTTGTTGATGATGATCCCCAAATATTTCGCTTGAAAATACCATGGAATCTTCACGCCATTGAAGGTTAAGGGCGCCAACAAATGGACACGTTTCTTTAAAATTAATATAGCTTTAATTTCCATTGCATTAATAGTAACCTTTCAAACACGGCACCAGACAACAATGGCGTCAAGATAGCGCTGTAGATGCTTGCATAGCATAGGGGGAGACTTCGAAGAAGGATATACGGTAGTATCATCAGCGTAGAAGGCGATTCATGTGGGTGGATTGGACGTCAGGGGCCCGTCGCTCATGTAAATTGCAAATAAAAGGGGTGAGAGAAGTAATCTCTGAGGGACCTGGTGTCTGAGATCGAAGCGGCGACCGGGTACGCCCACGAGCACGTTGAAGACGCGACCATTCAGATAGGATTTCAGTACGTTGTAAAGGTCATGAAGGACGGATAGCGCGCGCAGTTCGCACAGCAGACCTTATGCCAAACTGGATCGAATGCTTTTAACGTCAAGAAGACAGCGACTTTTGCATTCTTATGGTTAAAAGCGCGAGTGCTCCATTCAGTTAAGCAGAGGAGCTGCTGGGTCAGTGAGTGCCCTTGCCGAAATCCAAACTGAAAATCCGGTAAAGCTTTTCGAGCGTCAATGACCTCTTTAAGTCGGCGCAGTAAACGGTTTCACCCACTATGCCGGCCGCTGATGGTAGACTGATGGGTCAGTACTTGCTAGATGCTGGTTCCGGTTTAAGTGTTTTGGTAGCATCACAACGAGCGCCGTCTTCCATTGAATCGAAATTATATAAGGGGGTAAAGGTAGTACATCCCCATTAATGACGTTTTTTTCAACATCTCGTTAGGGATGCCATCGGGGCTTCGACAATTGCTTGCACCTGGACAAACATTAACTAGATTAAGTGGTTCGTAGTTAACAGGGAGGAATTAGCTCAGCTGAAAGAACGCATCATAATTAGAAGTATAATGAGCAGCTGGCGCGTTTTAAATAGCAAGAACATTGGCGAAAAGCATAGCTTTATCTCCATCACTCTCGGTCACTATATTTTCTTCACGAAAGAGCGATAGTGATGCAAGTCCCCAATTTTTGATCCTTTTAACAAATTTCCAAAAGGAGGATCGGTTGCTGCTGCCTGATTTTGAAATGCGATGCAGCTTGCTCTCCCGTTTATCGTTAAAAGGGGTCAGCAGCTTTTTTCTCTAATGCACCTGTGAAGTCCATTAAGCTCAAGTTTGTCTTCGGCGCTCTGCGAGAACACGGCTACTCGAATAAGAGGTAGACGTTGGCATATAAGTGCCTTTTGTACGTCAGGCAGACGATCAAGGCTGTACGTTACTTCACAAGTTGTCGTGGCAGCAGTGTGAGCCTTGTCTAGTGCGGTTTCGAAAAGGACCACAACATCATCCAGTAGGGCGGGCGGAGACGGTAATGATGGACACGACGGCAGTCTGGTTTCTTATACATTAGAATATTTCTCCCAGTCAGTAAAAATACGGGCAAAGGTCTTTGGTGTGTCCTTCTCACCCACTAAATCGAGATTAGACCACAACAAAAATTTACATCTAAAAACTTTAGATAATATTTTCTAATTTAACAAAAATTATTTAATTATATGAAATATACTTTATTAAAAAATTTGTGTGATTCCCAAACATTACTGCTGCGAGCACTTCTCCCTGTTTTGTTGTAAACGTAAGTTGTGCTAAAAAAAAATTTTTTACTATACAAAATTAAAAAAAAAGGGATTAAAAAATAAACACTCGAGCAGTTTTGCAAACTTTGTATGCTTCAATAAGCTCCACACAAACAGATTTATCGTCTGGGTGCTCTCCTACACATTTAAAAGCTTCCTGTTGCTCTTTCTTGCACAACAGCTTTTTAAAAAAAAATATAAAGCCAAAGCACGATAATAAATAAATCAAATAAAAGCTACCAGCTAATATATTTTTTTAATAAAATTCTGTTAACTTTAGTAAAATTTTTAATAGAAAAGTTTTACTAAACTGCGCCCAATTTAAATTTAATAAAAATTGATTATCATTAAATAAAACAAATAACCCGATAAAAACGAGTACAATAAGCGCACCTAAATAAAAAATACTTCATAACAAATATTACAAAAGATATTATAGAAATCTTAATAATCTCAATAATATAAGTTAAGTTGAAATCCTTAAGAGAAGTTTTTAGGACAATTACTTTCGAAGAATTTATAAAAATGAAAAACTCTAATTCACTTTAAAATTCCAATAAAATATAAAGTTGAAAATTCTTAAGATTTTATAAAGACGGTTAACTGTAAATTCTGTATTAATCTTTTATATCAAATAACTTCAGGGTAACACCTAAAAATATTAAGAATCTTAAATAACACTATGTAAGTTTACTTATACTTTAAACTAAAAAAAAAAAATCTAAATTTTTTAATTCTAATATAGAGCTCGTTGAGATAAAGAGCTGCAAAGCGCTAATATGCAGTGAACTTGCTAAGCTATATTATAAAATTTTTTTAATGTTTAAAAAGTTATTTTATCTTTATAACTTTAATAAATGATTTATAACCATTCGATGTAAAGCCATATACTTAATTTCGTAACGCTCAAGGAAGTAAACTTATGCAATAATATATGTTTACTTAAGCTTAATAGTTATCCCATTTTATTAAATAAAAAAATCAAAGTCAGGTGAAAACCGGTAAAGCTTAAAAGGGTTATTTTTTTAAGCAACATGGAAATTTACTGATGTAAAAACTAAAAATTTCTAGAAAAAACTTGATAGCTAGCCGATATTCAGAGCTACATATATAACTCAGCAAAAACAATTAAGTTCTCCCTTCTCATCTACCAAGCTTTCTTGAGCGACAATATGTAAGTTTACTTATGTTTATGCTGTAAAACTCTAAAAAGAAACTTTAAAGTCAGCCGATACAAAGAGCTACAATTAAGAAACCGGCGAAAACCTTCCAGGAATTCTTCCCTTCCGTCCGTTTTACGCGCTCCAGTTCGTTTACCATCTGGCGATTTCACCAGCGATTAAGCTTGCAGCGTTTTTACTATCACCAAGCCCCTCTTAATACCACGTGCTAAAGATAACATTTACTTAAAAAAAATATTCTCACTTTTTTATAATAGGATTTTGTATACAATTTATTTATACAGATAATAAAGTTAAAAGTTAAAAGTTTTAGTTTTTCGTTATTAATAAATTCTTACTTGTAAAGAGAAGTGGGTTGGAGAACGCCACTGGTTTATTGTGTATATTTTTGACATTCAGCAACCTTAAGATAGTCCACTTTGCTCTTCTTTTTCTATAAAAAACCCGATACCAAGGAAATAAACGAGCAAGAATATCGTGATGTGTGTTTTTAAAAAAACCCTTCATAACAATCAACTAAATGTAAAATATAGTTTTGCATATCATTAAACTGTACTTCATTATAATTCTTAAGGTTCCCTTTAAAAGTTACTATCATATTAAAATAATAAGTTACTTCGAACAAAATTTTAAAATTTTAACAAACAATTATTACCTTACGAATGTTAAGCTGGCTACTATTATTTAGCTAGTAATAATGTTTACTCATTCATAAAAATTTTTCTAAAGTTTTAAGAAGGGGCTTTTAAATAGGTTTTCTTTTAAACCTTAAAAGTGCTACAAAAGAGAAAGCAAGTTTTCAAACTGTCCTTTGCAACTTGAATACTGAACTCTTTAGCCTATGACTACCTTACTTACCATTCACTTCATCTCTTAGCCTTTATTGCTAAAAAAAGAAAGTTACTCTAAGGCTTTACCTTTTGTAATTTATAAAGTGAAACATAAGCTGTGTCCAGGATATCGGTATTACTTGGTTATAATTCTTTTAGTTTTTATTTTTATAATTTTATAATTTACAAAATTTATAGGTAATAAGTCGTTATATTTAGACACACAAGTTGAAAAGTAAAGCTCAATGCTTAATAAAATTTATTTAAAAAAAAGATTTACCTTAAACACTTTTTATCATATACAAGCGACACTTAATAATTAATAAAAATAAAGTTTTCTCTTCTTATTGTGGATTCTTTCTTGCTTATAATTTCTTTGCTCCTTTTTATCGTACTTTCTTTTTCCATTAAAGCATTATAAGAAATAGATGTGGAAGCCCTCAAGTTGAGTGAGTTAAAAGCCACTTGTGGAATTTGTTAAAAATTATAGCTAAATATAAATTTTCGTTTTTTTCTATTCTCCTTCTCGCGAATTTGTAAGGTTTGCAAGTATATAATATATATAGATTAAGTGGCTTCTATCAGAATTATTTTATTGTGGTTATAATAAATAATAAAAACTGAATTTAACACAAGTTTATTTTTTTTTATTCATTTTTTGGATGAAAAGTTGCTTACGTTCAACTTTTTTTACCTTTTTTATTAATACTAAATATATGCTTTGTTTATTTATAGCGTTTATTCTCTGTTTTCGCTATTTTTTTGTTACTTCATTAATTTTTCAATATTATTAACTATTTTATCATTAAAAAGAAAAGAACATGAACAAAATTTCTAATCTTTTTTGCAGTGCCGCGAAGGCACAGTCACGTTTACTTACTTTCAGAAGGTTTTGTAAACTTTTATATATTTTTAATTCTATGTACTTCTCATTCTATATGTAACCTACAGAAGTCTTTCTCAATACTCTGAAAGTATTTTATCTGGAAGTAATAGCAATTATATAGATGAGATGTATATTTCCTGGAAAAAAGATCCGTCGTCTGTCCACAAATCCTGGGACATATACTTTAAAAACGTTGAAAACGGAAATATGAAAAATGCTTTTTGCCTTCCTCCATCTTTAGATAATGTTAACGGAAATCCGTTTTTAAAAAAATTTCTTAGATTTTTGATTTTAATAAAAATTTATTTATCTAAAAGATGATAAATTTAGATCGTTTGATCTATATCTTAACAATAACCTTATATTTTTATCCTGTTAAAAAGTTGTTTGATTATGTTAAATTATTTACTTTTTATAATTAATTGATAAGCAGTTATTTATTATGTCTTTGTTTCATTTTATAAAGAATAAAAATTTATAAAAATAAGCATTAAAACTTGAGTGACTTCCCTTAATAAAGATTTAGATTTTATTTTTGCAACAAAATTTGTTCTTCACTTAAATCAACAAAGTAATCGTTTGCAACGAATATAGGAAGCATAAAAGCAAAGTTTTATAATTTACTAAATGCAAATATTTTAAGGTTTTATTAAAATTAAAAATTACTATTTTAGCAACCCCTATGTTTAATATAAAATAGAGTTTTTTATTATAATTATCTTTAAATTTTTTAATAAGTATCACCATTTTTAGTAGTTTTTGTAAACTTAAGATTTATACTTGGTAATATCTTAAATTTATTTTATAAAGTTAATTACGTTTACTAATTAATAAGTATCATAATATTTAGTAGAATCCATAAACCTTACTTTTAAACTTTTAGAATTTTTTAAATTTTAATTTATGAATTTAGTTATATTTACTAGATATTATTAATAAACTTTTTTTAATTACCAATCAACTTTGAAAATTAATATTATTTTAGTATTTATGACAATTCTTTTGTATTATTTTATTAATAAGTTTAATTAACTTAAAAGGTTTTAAATTTTTTTCTTATTATTATACTATAACAGTAATTTTGTTATGTTTACGTTTGTTACTATACTATTATTATATACATTGTTTACTATTATCTCGTTTATTATTATATTATATTTATTTTTTATTTATTAAAAATAAATATATTCTAGTATAATATTATATAACATATCACTATTTACTTATTAAGTGAATTTTTATAAATTTTTAAATAAAAAAATAAAGTTTTCTATAATTTTTATTAATATATAAATAATTATATAATTTTTTTTGTGAGTCGGCATTCATGCAATATGATCTTCTTAGCGGGCTGCGCTCAGAAAGGAGATGCCATGTGGCTCATCGGATACTTTACGAGCGGCGAAGGAGTACGCTTCGATTCTGTCTCTGATTCGCGCTTATCAAGTTAGTAAATATTTAATGACTTTTTTTCCTTTTGTTATTATTATTATTATTTATGAACGATTTGCTAATTTTAGCCCCGCCTCTAACCTTTAACTAACCTTAACTCCCTTTTTTTATTAGTCATATCTATTTGAATTTATTATTATTGTATAATTTTGTAATAATAATATTTATAAATTCTTTTCTTTTTGATTATAAATAATAATATATGCTATATTATTATGATAATTTTGTAATACTAACATTGTTTATAATTTCTTTTTAATTTTAAAAATATATTTCATATGTATTTAAATGGTTTTTTCTATTTTATTATTATAATAATAAATTTTAAAATTACCTTTTTATTTTTTAATATATTTTTATTTATATTAGTTATTTATATTAAAATTTATTATTTTTAACGTATTTGTTAGTAAATAACTTTTTTTTTACTATTACTAAAACTTTTTTAATATTTGGAATTTAGAATTTTTTTTATTTCGTCTTTACTTATTATTATTGCAATCATCCTTTTTTAGATATTTACTTTTTCTTTTCCTTTAATATATTTATATATTTCTTGCTTATTTTTTTTATAAATCATTAAGTATAAAAAAAATAATTATATTACAATATTTAACTTTACTATATATATATTACTTCACTTTATAGAGAAATAATGTTATTAAAAAGTTTATTATTGAAAAACTTTTTCAAAAAACTTTTTGTAATTTTTTTATTTTTGTTAGTTTTTATTTTTTTTTTATTTTTATTGAAATTTTTTTTAAAAGTTTTGCGTTACAAATAAATTATTGAAAAGTATTGAAAGTGATGAAAACTTTTTATTATAAAGAAAAATTTTATTACTATATTTTATAAAATATTTTTAATCAATAACTTTAACAACTTTTTATAATGAACATTTAATAATATTTTCTTATGGAAATAAAAAAATTTATATAAAGTTTTTATTACCAATTATTGTAAAACTTTTTACTAACAAAAACTTCTGTATAAGCATTATAATAAAAAAAGTTTTAATATATATAAAGGTAGTTTTTAGAATAGTAATATTATTAAACGAGAATATTTTATTAATAGACTATTTTATATAGAAGTGTTGAGTATTAAAAACTTTTTAACAAAAAGTAAGAAATTGTTAATTTTTTATTTATATATAAATTCATTATAAATAAACTATTATATAAATATTTTTCAAGTAAAGATTATTCATATAATTATATAATAATAGTAATAATAGTCTTTATATGAAAAACAAAATAAAATAAAAACTTTAGTGATAGTGATATTCTATAAAACTTATATACTATTTTAAAAGTAAAAGTATTTCATTAAAGTATTGAATATTAATAACCAAGAAAACTTTATAAATCCTTTTTTATAAGTTGTGACTGTTATATAATAAATTTATAAAAATAAGTGACTTTGCGACTTTAAAAAAGTTTTCTATTATAATTAATAATATAAAAATAGAAAAAATATATATACATTTTTAGTATAAATTTTATATAATTATTATTATCATTTGATATTTTTTACTAAATACATAAAAAAGTAAATTTTTTTATGTTTGGAAGAAAACAATTATATAAAATAAAATATATACACTTTTAGCATATTTCTTTGTAAATTTTATGTATTTATTTAAATTCTATTATTTTTATAATACTTTTCACTAAATTTATAAAAAAGTTTCTCATTTTTTTTTAAATTAACGAAGGAAACAATTACAATAATAAATTTATAGTATATACTTTTTTAGTATATTTTTATCATAAAGTTTATATAATTTTAAAAATTCTCTTCTTATTATAATATAATTTTTCACTAAATTTTTGACAAATATTTGAATTTGCGGCAACAAAAAATTATATTAATGAATATATAGTATGCTTTTTTAGTATACATTTCTTATAAGCTTTATATATTTATTTACTTTATACTTCTATAATTTTTTTATGAAATACTTTTTACTAAATTTTGAAGAGTAAATATATAACTTTACCGAAACAAGCAATTATATTAATGAATTTTAGTCTCCTTTAAGAAAATTTTATAATAGATTTATAATTCATTTAATTCTATTTTTTTATAATTACACCCTTCACTTAATTTTTAAAAAAAAGTAAATTTTTTGTGAAAATTTAAGGAAGCAAGTTAATATATTATCGAAAATTCTGAGCATTTTTTTTTAGTGAATAATTATTTTTAGGTTCGTGGGCACCTCATGGCGAATCTTGATCCTCTGGGCATCAGTAATAACGCTCTTTGCGATGAAAAGTTTGACGAATGCAATTATAAGCACGTTTTTTTGTGCATTTTTATATTATATTTCTAGTGATAAGTGTGAATCATTATTTTTTATGCTTATTGGTTATAGTTTCAAGTAAAATAATTTGCGAAAGTATATTCATTATTTTTTGTACTTAATATATTTACTTTATAAACTTTTTTTGTGAACTGTATAATTTTTTTTTGCAAAAGTATTTTCATTATTTTATAGCCTTTTCTTAAAAGGATTGTCAGTATTAAAATTGTGCTTATTTTTGTATAAAAAATTAGACTTTTATTATTGTTTGTTTCTTATATTATTAAAAAATATTTTTACTTTTTATGTGTCTGATTTCTTATTGGCTATTTTTATCACTATTTTTTTGTCTATGAACAATAATTCGTTAAGACGATTTCATTGGTTTTGCTTTCTCGTTGCTTTTTGTGCCAATTTTTATTGAATTTTTTTGCAAACACGATTCATTATTTTTTATTAACACTTTTCCAGTGGAGTCCACTATTATTTTTGTCATTATTTTTATCGTATTTTTAATTGCAAATTAAAAGATTTATAAATCAGAAAAAAAATATTAGTGTTCAATAAATAATAACCAAAGAAAATGATAGAGTCAACTAAAGCTTTTAATGAAATTTTTTCTATAATTATAATTTATATTTTTAGTAAAATGATTCATTAATTTTTAGGACATATTGTTTTTCTGAAGCTGATCTCGATCGTGAATTTTATATACAAGATGAAAATATGGGAGGTGCTTTTATTTTTTGCTTGTTACTATCATTTTTATTATAAATATTATATAACTTGTTGATAAAAAAATATTACTTTTCAAGTGAAAATGATATGCATTTTTTAGTAACTTTTCGCCACGTGCATTAGTGGTAGCGCGCCTTTTTATTGGTCTTTGCACGTATTATATAATTTTTTTTACTGATTTTGGGATTTATCAAGAATAATGAGAACGGAAAGTTATAGAAGTTCCCCCCACATTATAAATTTATTCCCTTTGCATTAAAAATTTTCAAAAAGGTTTTTTAATAAATAAATTTTAGTGAAAATATATAATTTTTTGTGATGAAAGTGAAGTTTATGAAGTTTACAAAACTTTACAAATGAAAAGAAGTAAAAAGTAATATTAATAATAAATAAGTAGTAATAAAGATTAATAAAATCTCAGCCGTTATATTATTGGGTGCTGACCACGTGCAGAGCCACGTAATTTATTGCACTAGAAAAATATTTTTTATACTTTTTATTATAATTTTGTTTATTATTATGTGTTTTAAAAACTTTTGAAGCGATATTACTAAATAAAAACATTCATTTCTACCAAAGGAGTATTACTTTTGTTATTATTAATATATGTTATTATTATCATAAATTATTATTATTTACATAATACTTATTATTTTTATTATTATTTAGTATTAAATTTATTCTGCAATAACTTTTTTTTAATCTTTCTTTAGCACTCTTTGTATTATTAATTTAATATTGAATAATACTTTTAATGGTTTATAAATTATTATTATTTTTAATTTTTTTTATTATTAAATTTACTCTTCATCAACACCCTTATAAGTATAATTTCACAATATTTATTTTTTATTATTATGTTTATTATAAATTTATTAATATTTATATAATAATTTTCATTTTTTAAAGTTGTTTAATATTGAATTTAATATTAATAACTTTTTTTTAATACCTTTTTGAATTATAAATATAGTATTCAATATTATTTTTTTAATTATTTCTTAAATTATAATTATTTACTTAATAATTATTATATTTAATGCTTAAAATAATAAATTTACACTTCATCCAATTTTTTATAAAATTAATTATCAAAATTTATCTATTTTTGCTATTTTTATTTTTAATTTATTAATATTTATATATTTTTATAATTATTATTTTTTATATTTTTTTAGAATTCAACTTTTTATTCATCCACATTTTTTATAAATACAATTTTTATTATTTACCTTTTATTATTTTTTTAGTATTAAATTTATATGCATTAAACTTCTATTATAAATTTAATATTTAATCATTTATTATAAATTTATATAATTACTTAATTTATTTTTATTTTTATTTAGAATTTGCTATGCATTAACCTATTTTTAATACTTTTTGTATGATAAATTAATAGGAAACTTATTTTTCTTTATATATTTTTATGGTTAATACTTTTTTTTACTTTTTGTTAAGGCGCACTTTCGTTTTTTGGGTTTGGCGAGCAGCAAAAGGCCACCCTTCGGACCATTCTTGAGCGACTTAAAGAAATATACTGCAATACTATTGGCTGGGAGTTTATGCATATTAACGATCGAGAAAAATGTGTTATTTTCATTAATATTTATTTCAGTTAACTTTATTATAATCCTAACATATGCTTCTCCACTTTTATTATCCCATACTTCGATGATGGCTTTTTTTTGTTTAATGCTTTATTATAATTATATTTAAAGCTACATATTTATGTACAGTTTTTTTCATTAAAGTGTTTGTAATTATATATACTCAAGGTGATTGGCTACGCAGAGAAATTGAATTCCCGGGCAACATGTCGGTTTCGCGCGAAGAAAAAAAAGTTATTCTGCGACGTTTGAATCAGGCGGACGGGTTTGTTCACTATTAATATTGCTTTATTTATTATTATGACTACTCTTATGATGAAAGCTTTCTTCTCAATAAGGGATATGAGTGCAGTAAATATCATATTGGAATAAGCTTTTTGCTTATATTTATCTATTATTATAGTTTTGAAAATTTTCTACAAACAAAGTGGGGAAGTGAAAAACGTTTCGGAATTGAAGGCTTAGAATGTATGTAGTTATTTTTCTTATTATTATGAATCTTTTCATTATTATTTTTAATAATGTTATTATTATTATTAGCTACTATTGTTTGTGTAAAGGGAATAATAGACAAAGCAAGCGAATTGGGCGTTGAGGCTATTGTGTTGGGGATGCCCCATCGTGGCCGCCTCAATGTGCTTGGAAATGTGCTTAAGAAGCCTTTAGAAGTTCGTATTTTCATTATTTACTTTGATTTATTATTTAATATTATTATTAATATGTTTTATCTATTAGTTATTTATTTTTTTTAAAATATATACTACTTCTTATTTATTATTGATTAATTATTATATTTTATTTATTGCTTATTATGATTTATCTTTACTTATCATATTATATTATTAATATATATTCATCGATTATTTACATTGTTATATATTACTTCCATTTATTATTTATTGTTATTATTTCTTTTTATCTATTATAAAATTAATATTACTTATATTTAATATTATATATTCCTATTTTATTTTTAACTATATACTATTTAATATTATTATCTGTTTTTTATAATTTATTACCTTTTTTTATTATATATGACTTATTATTTATTATTATTGTCTATTATTATGTATATTATCATTATTTTTAATTTTGCATTTATTGTTATTATTATATATTACTTATTTTAATTTATTAATATATAATTTTATCAATTTATTATTTAAATTATATAATTTTTTTATTATATATTACTTATTATTATATATTTTTATTTATTATCAAACATTTTTTTTATTTATTATTATTACTTATTAATATTATCTACTTTTATTTATTAATTTAATATTTTTATAATATTTATTTATCTATTATTTATTTATTTCCATTACTTGTCATTAATATTACTTATTATTATTTACTTTTACTTAATATTTAATTTTATTATTTTTATTTTTTTTATTTTTTTATTTTAACTTATTCATTATCTATTCTACTTTAGAGTTTGTTTTCCGAGTTCGATTCTCACTTACAACCTACTGAAGAAGGAAGGTGAGTATTTTGACATATATACTTATAATGAAACTTTATAATTATTATTATTTACACTTATTCTCTTTTACTTATTCATTTCTGTTTATTTACTTTAAATTATGTATATTTTAACTTATTATTTTTATACCTTTATAGTCGCTATATAATATCCTCTTTTATATATTCTCATATATTTTAATATTCGCTATTTTGAAAGCGGGGATGTGAAGTACCATTTGGGCTCCTCTTCGGACCGACTGACGCGTTCAGGCCATAAGGTTTCTTACTATCATTATTATTTATTATTAATAATAATAATTTTGGACACTTTATATTTTACTTTAAGTTTTTGTTTGTTAGTTTGTTTCGTTATTATAATTATTATATTTGTTATCATTATAATCATAGTAATTATTATTAATTCCATAGTCATGTTAATTCTTGTATATTTTGCTTGAAGTTTTTATTATTAGTTTGTTTTATTATTATTATCTCGGACGTTTTATATTCGCTTAAAGTTCGAGGATTTCATTATTACTTTTTTTTATTGTAATTTTTATATGAAATGTTCATTTTTATTAAAAATTTTGTTTATTTAAAATATTTTATTATTTTTTTGTGATTTATAATTTTTTTTTATAATGATTTATTATTGTTTATATAATATATTATTTTTATTATATCAATTTTTTATACTTTAAAATTATATTGAATGATTTATTTTTCGATGTTTGTATAATATTTTTTATATTATTATTTTTTTATGTATATAAAATATTTTTTATTTTTTTTTATGATTTTATTTTTTCGATAGTTTTTAATAATTATAACATCTTAATTGATTTGTTTTTATTCATTTATTTAAAATATATTTTTTGATTTATGTTTTTTTTAATTTACTTTCACTTGTTTATATAAAATGTTTTTTTAAGACATTAATTTTTAATGAAATTTTTTTAGGTGTTTATATAAAATATTAATTTCCTTAATTTTTTTTATGACTAAAAACTCTTTAACTACTTTTATTTTATAAAAAATTATTTTAATATTTTATATAATTTATAATTATTTTTAAGTATTTTTTAAATATTATTTTAGTTTTTTTTATGATTTATTATTATTTTTAATGAATTTTTTAATTTTTTAAACAAAATATTATTTTAATTACTATTTTTTTTATGTTTAAAAAATTATTTTAATGAATTATTTTTATTTGTTTATATAATGTATTTTAATGAAAGTTTTTATTGTAATTTTTTATATTTTGTTATATAATTTTTACTTTTTATATGTATAAATTTTGTTATTAGAAGAAGTAATATTTTTTACACGTTATATATTTTTTTTATATTTATTTTATAATTTTATTACTATCATAGTTATAACAGATTTACTTAATGGTTCTTGCTTTCTACAATTTTTTTATTAACAACTTTTATATATTATATTATTATATATAAATATAATAATTTTTTAAAATGTATAATAACTATATTATTATCATAAAAGATTTGTAATGATTGCTAAATATAATTTTTAATAACTTTTTATACCTTTTGTTACAATTACATAAAAAAAATTATTTTAAAATGTATTTAACTTTTTTGTTATAATTATAAAAGATTTACTTAATGATTGTTACTTTTTATACGTTTTCTTAATTATTACAAAAAAATATTTATTTTAAAATGTATAATAAATTTATAATTATAATCATAAAAGAGTTATTTAACAACTTTTTTTATATTTTATTATTATTCCATATAAGAAATGTTGTATAATAACTTTATTAATGTTACAGAAGATCTACTTAATGATGGTTGTTTTTTATAATTTTTTATTACAAACAACTTTTATTTTTATATTATTATATTTAAAATATATTTTTATTAAAATATATAATATCTTTATTATTATTTAAAGATTTACCTGCCTTTATTATTTTGTGTTATTACTATAAACAATAACTTTATTATTATATTAATAATAAAAGATTCACTTATCGCTGGTTGCAAATCCTTCTCATTTGGAAGCAGTAAATCCAGTGGTTCTTGGAAAAGTTCGCGCGGAACAGTTTTATCGTGTTTGCTTTTTTTATGATTATTATAAATTTTTTATTAATACTTTTTTTCAAAATATATAAAGAATATTATTGATTTCAGAAATGTTTTAACACGTCTAGTTTTTTGTTACCAATTTTTTGTAAATGTATTATATTTTATTTATCATAAACTGTTTTTTATAATATTTTTATTTTTTTTATTTTTTTGTGTTCAGTAAGTTCAAACGGGTCTGTTTTTATGTAGATGATGAATTTTTTTTAACATTTTCTAAAAGTTTTAAATATATATTTTTTATAATATTTATAAAATATTATTTTTATTTTTTATATATTTTTCCTGTTTAGAGCAGTTTTAACGAGTTTGTCTTTATATATTTTAAATTTTTTTACTATTTTTTATAAAATATTGTACTATTATTTTTTATATACTTTTTCTGTTCAGAACAGTTTTAACGATATTTTTTTAATAGATTTTTTAATTTTTTCTTTAACTATTTCAAAAAAAATTCTAATTTTTATTGTTGTACTTGTGTGAATAATTTTTGTTTTTATCTATATTTTTTATATACTTTTCGTGTTTAGAAAAGTTTTAACGATTTATGTCTTTTATTTAAATTTTTTTTACTATTTATTTGAAAAAAATTGTTGTATTTTTATTATTTTTTAAATTTCTAAAAAAATTTTTATGAAATAATAAATTTTTCTTCATGTTAAGAACATTTTTAATAAGTTTTCTTTTTATTTAGATTTAAAATTTTTTTATATTTTCATTAATAATATATATACTTGTTTTTTTAAGGAGTTTGCTGTTTTTATATATTTTAAATTTTTTTTATAAAATTAAAATACTTTTGGTTTTTTACTTTTATATTTTTATATTTATTATAAATTTCTAAATATAATTTTGTATTTATACAATTTTTATTCATTTCTTTTTAAATAATTTTTTTTATAATTTAAATTTATTTTTATATTTCTGGTTTTTATATTTATTCATTCCTTTATATAAATTTTCTTTTTTTATTTTTATTAATATTTTTTTAGAATTTAAAATTTACATTTATCTTTATTTATTTTTCTCAATATTTTATTATTCTTATTTCTTAACGTAATAATTTTTATTTATTTATTTATTTTTATATTACTTTTTTAGACTTTTTTTTTAATATTTATAATTTTTTTCTGTATGCTTTCGTGTTCAGAATTGTTTTATCGAGTTTACTTTTTAAATTTTTTTAAATGTTATTATATTTTTATTAATTTATTTATAATTTTATAAATATTTCGCGATTTATTTTTATTTTTTATTTTTATTATTTTTAATAGATTTTTTTTCTTTTATCTTTTTAGTATAGTAAAAATTTTTTTATGGATACTTAATGGTTTTTATCTCCTTTTTTTTAGTTTTTCTGTTTTTCATTAATTTTTTTTAAAAATGTTTTTATAGTTTATTTTTATATATATTTCATATTTATATAAATAATTTCTTGTAGTACGTTTATACATATTTTTCGGTTTTTATCTTTTTTTTTTAAATTTTTTTTATTTTCCTATATATATTTCATATATATAAATTAATGCTTTTTACTATATATGTTTATATACTTTTTCGGTTATCTATTTTTTTACTGCTCTGTATTTTTAACTTTTTTATCAAATTTATATGATGTTTACTAGTTTTTTTTAAGATTTAGTATATTTATATAATATATTTTGTTAATATTTTTTTAAATTAAAATATATTTGTTGTTTACGTTTTTATATTTTATTGCTGTAAAGTTTCTTTTTTTTAATATATTTAATTTCAATATTTTTTAATAAATTTAATATTTTTTTATTATATATTTTTACATTTTTAATACTTTTTAATTTTTTTTACTGATTTTTATTTTTATTTATATATTTATTCCTTTTTTTTTGATTTTTTTGATATATATATATATTTCCTAATATTTATATACTGTTTCTTATATATCAGAACGATCATCAACGCCAACGGGTTGTCCCTCTTCTTCTTCATGGAGACGCCTCATTTTCAGGACAAGGTTTTTATTCTTATCATTATTATCCTTACTATTATTATTATTATATTAAAGGAGTTGTGTATGAGTGCTTGAACATGAGCGATCTTCCCAACTATTCGACGGGAGGGACTCTTCACGTAATTTGTAATAACCAAATTGGCTTTACCACGGACCCCCGCTTCTCTCGTTCTTCCCCTTATTGTTCGTATTATTATTAATGATTTATAAATAACTTGTGTCCAAGTAATATTTAATACTTATATAAAAAATATTTTAAAATATTGAATGAAAAATAATGAATCTATTTTCACTAAATTTGGATTAATTTTTGAATAGGAAACTTTTATAATGTTTATAAATATTTTAATTATTTTTATTAATATTTTTTATAATATTTACATTAGAATTATAAAACTTTTGATAATTATTACACTTGTATCAATTATAATATATTAAAATATATACTTTAATGAGAAATAATGAATATTTCACATTAAAAAAATTTAATAAACTTTTAACTATAATTTTTTATTATAACCTTTATCATAATTTTTATTTTTTCTTATGAAATAGGCATAATATATTTGAACTCATAATAATTATAATAATTGTATACTAAATGATATTATTAAGTATACAAAATTTAATAAAACTTTAGTATTATTTTTTATATTGATCATATTTATCAGAAATGGATAACCTCTTAAAAAAATAATTAATATAATAAATGTATAAACAATATTATAATAAAGTATTTTAACTTGAAAATAACGAAACATTCTAAAAAATTTATATAACTTAAAAATATAAACTTTATTTAATTATTAAAAACTCATTATTACTACTCTTATTCTTATTTATAATAGTATTTAGAGAAAATGTATAACAAAATAATTACTCTTATTATAGTCATTATTATAATTGTGTAATAAGCAATATTGTGAAGTATACTAACTTTTAAAAATAATGAAACTTTTTCTACAAAAAAAATTAAATTAACTTATACATTTATAAACTTTTATAATGGTTATAAATTATTATTATTCATTATATTTAAAGAAAACGTTTAACAAATAATTAATTTTTTTTATAATCATTATAATAATTGTATAAAAAATATTATTATAAATTATACTAAATTTAAAAATAATGAAAGTTTTACACTAAAAATATGTACATTATTTAGACTTAAAATAATTGTACCACAAAAAATTAAACTCTAATAAATTATAATTTATTAAAAAATAAAAATTTATTGTTTTGAAAAGTACTGAAACTTTTTTTTTACCTAAATCTGAATTATTTTTGTAATTTTATGAAGGTACGGACGTAGCAAAGTCCTTGCAAGCGCCAATATTCCACGTGAATGCCGACGACGCCGAGGCAGTTTTAAAAGTTTCAGAACTTGCCATAAAATGGCGGCAAAAATGGGGGGAAGACGTCGTTATTGATATTGTATTTCATTATTATTTTAATGTTAATATCATTATTTTTATTATTACTTTTGCTTCTCTTATAGTTTCTTAGTGCATAAGTATTATGTCTTTGCTAACTTTTTCTTTTGAGTGAAATTTATAATTATTTTAATATATTTACTCGATATATCTAAAATTTATTAATTATAGTTATTTATATAATTAATATAATTTTATAATTCCTAATACTTTACTGACTCGGAAAGTTTTCATGACAAGAAAAAAAATTTTTTTTCATTCGCTTTGACTTAGACCAATTCGGTTGTGCGAAGAGTCACGTGCGCCATACGCTCAATTTCCTTATAAAACTGAATAAAAAGTTTAAATATAAAAAAAAAAAACTTAAAAAAAAAAATCATGCAGAAAAGTAAAACATATAATTATTGAATTCTCTTTTTTATAATTTTTTTAAATTACCCCAACATTTTATTTTTATACGACATATAGGTTTATCGTTATTTGATAGTATTTGTATAATTTTTATGAGCTAAATACTTATAAATTACTAAATATATATTATGATACAGTTATAGTTTTTATCTTATGGTAGTATTGTACTGTATTTTGATAGGGAGATATAAACTTTGCATTTTTTTTTTTCTTGTAGAGTTAACTTATTATGCAATTGATAAGAATAAACATTTCCAGGGATAACATTATTATATTTATAAGAAAGTTTTCTATATTATTGTAATGAGGTTCAATATATTATAACGAAATTATTTCGCTTTATATTTTTATGTATTTTATTATTATTATAATAAACATTTTTATCTGAGTATTTTTTTAATGTTTTTATTTTTAACCCAAAAGTAATATTTATGAAAAAAAAATTTACTTATAATATTTTATTACTATTTTTTCATTTATATATATATTGTTTATGGCGAGAATTTTTCCTTTATTATTTTATTATAAGAATTTATAGTTTATAATAATTATATAGAAAAACTAAACTAGTGGTATTATACATATAAATTTACATATTATTATTTTTCTTGTGAAGTATTTTATAAGTATAATATGAATGCAATGAATTATATTTTTTTTATATGCTTGTATTAATATATATACTCTTATATATCTACTTTGGTATTATTATTTATTTGTAGTTTTTATGATGATTATTATTTATATAATATTATTTTTAGTTTATAATTTTTTTATTAATTATAAAATTCTTAAAACTTTTTTTTATGTTACTACATTAAAAAATTTCTCCTTTTTTTTCTAATTTTTTATTTTTTAATTATTGGTAACTATTTATTTTTATTTCTTTGGTCCTTTATCAATATGCTTATTTTAGATTGGCTATCGGCGTCACGGTCATAACGAAGGCGACAATCCGGCTTTTACTCAACCAATGATGTACAAGGCCATTGCTAAGCACTCGCCTGTGGAGAAGATGTATAAGGAAAGGCTGTTAAAAGAAGGTATTATTTATTATTATTGTTGTTATTAGTATTATAAACTTTAAACTTTTTATATTTATCATATTTATATTATATTTTTTATATAAATGTTTTCTCTTTCTAACTATTTTTATTTTAGGAGTCATTTGTGAAAAAGAATATAGAAAACTTGATGAAGATTATCAGCGGTTATGCAAAGAGGCCTTCGAAAAAAGCAAAAGTTATTATTTTTTTATAAAAGTTATATTTTAACTAATTACTACATTTTTCCTATTATTATTGGTAGATGAAAAAATTCGTATTGATGATTGGCTGGATTCGCGCTGGAAGGGCTTTAAGGCGCCGAGAAACATGTCATTGGCCAGAGACACCGGTTGATCAAAATTATTACTTTTTAATATTTATAATAAAACTACTAATAAAGGAGGAAATGGTAATATTTAATATAGTAGGAAGTTCTATACTTAATGATATTATTATAAAAACGTTATTAAATAGTATAAATAATGAAGTGTTTATGATTATAATAAATAATATTTATTTTTATAAATAATAATCATAATTTATAATAATGTAATAAAAATAATAATTAATTAATAAAAAATGTTTGAAATTTTTTAATTAATTATATAAAATTAGAAGAATTATAATATATATTTAAGGAAAAAAAGAAAGAAAAGAATATAGTAAATAGTAAAAAGTAATTATTAAATTATATAATAAAAAATATCATTATATGATACGTAATAATAATATTCTTTAATAAAAACAATTAAATAATTTATAAAAATTAAAATTTCTAAAAATTTTATTAATATTATATTATTTTAAAATAAATAATAAAAATATTTTTGAAAGATAAGAAAAAAAATATCTAATAAAATAAAATTATAATTAAAAGTGAGTAATTATAAATAATTATTTAATTATATAATGTTATCATTATATGAAACTTAACAATAATTATAGTAATATTTTTTATATATTGTTTGAATAATAAAATAAAAAGAAAAAAATAACAATAATAATATTTATAATAATAATATTAATAAATATTTTGAAGGCGTTTCAATAGAACGACTGAAGCATATTGGCACTGTTATTAGTACGGTCCCTAAAGGGTTTTTATATATCTTTATCTACTTTTATATTTAAATAATAACAAACTTTTTTTTATTTTACTCATTAAAAATTTTAATGAAAGACAATATACGCAACTTTAAGAGTTTTTACTTTTATATAAATTTATTTTCGTTATTGCTCTTTATTAAAATTTCTTATAATTAATAAATAATATTTTGTGGATCATAAATTTTATAACTTTTCTTATACTTAATATTTTTACTTCATTATATATTTTTTTATACTAAAATATTGGTTACATATATTCTTTTTAACATTTTTGTAGACGAGAGTTTTAACTTCTATATAAAAATATTTTTTAATAAAATCTTAATATTGAAATATATTATTAATCTTAATAAAAAAAGGTTAAGGATTTTTACTTATATATATTAAATATAATAATATAGTAATAAATTTTATGTTTTATTTTATTATATAAAAAATAAAAAATAAAAAAATTATTGAGTTTTTACTTTTATATGATAAATAATAATAATAACTTTTATATGATAACTTTTTTTAAGTAAAGACTTTAAATAATAAAATATACAAATCTTTTGTTAAGCATTTTGAAAATATCTACTTTATATATGAATAATAACAATTTTTAATAACGTATTCTTTTTTTTTTTTAGAAATTTTTTTAAATATAAAAAACTTTTATTAAGCATCTAAATAATAACTTATTTTTTTTATATAATAATATTTAATAATAAAATATATAAAACTGTTTATTTTAACTTTTTTAATAATATTATTAGAAAAGTTTATTCTTTTATATTTTTTGTTAAACTTATATATAAAACGTTTCTTTTTTTTATTAGTTATTAAAATATATTTTTTAGTTTTGTTTATAATTTTTATACTTAAAAATTTTTTAAAGTTTTACTAGCCATCGAGGAGTTGATCGGATATTAAAAGCTCGAATGCAAACTGTTAAGGTTGCCTACTTTTATTATTGTTATTATTATTATCTTTTTATAAGTTATTTATACATATTACCTAACATTATAATAAAAGTAAATTTTATATTATTTTTCTGTAAGTTTTTTAAATATTATCATAAATAAAAGTTCAATATATTTTTATTTAAAAAGTTTTCTGTTATTGAATTGTTATTAATAAACATTTTTAATATTCTTATTTGTTTTCGAAAAATATTTTTTTTTTACTTTTTTACACTAATATCTGTAATATTATTATCAAAGTGATATATATATTTTTTTTAGAATTATTATAAGTAAAAGTACAATATATTATATTTCAATAGTTTTTTATTATTAAATTGTTAAGAAAGTAATATTTTTGTCTGAATAATTTTTTTTTCATAAATTATTTTAATATTATTGTTGTTGTTATTATTATTATTGTATTAGTCCGGAAGCGGTATCGACTGGGCCACTGCAGAGGCACTTGCCTTTGGAACGTTGCTTATGGAAAAGTTTCATGGTTTTTGCTTTACTTGCTAATCTGGCCAATCAAATTTTATATTCTTATCTATCATTCTTTTTAATCTGATGGCCTTGGTAGTTCGTTTAAGCGGGCAAGACGTGGAGAGAGGCACTTTTTGTCAGCGCCATCACGTGCTTCATGACCAGAATACTGAAGGTTGTTGAGTTTTTAGGAAAATAATGGATACAGTGGGCCAATCATTGACTTTAATTTTATAATATGAAGAAACTTATGTCCCTCTTAACCATCTTTTGGACGAACAAGCGAAGTATACCGTTTCAAACAGGTTTATTATTGTTATTATTACTATATTCATTACAAGTATTATTATTTATTTTTTATTATTATTATGATTTATATATATATTATTAGCACTTTTACTGTTATTAAAGTTATTATTATAATTATCTAAAAACGCTTAACATTTTTTTAAAGAAAGTTATGCAACATTTTATTATACAACGATAATTTATAATTATTATTTATAAATAATAAAAATCTACTATTTTTTTTATCAATTTATATTGAAAATTTTTTTCATATCGAAATAAAAATATCTTTAAAATATTAATTTATTTTTTATGATTATTTTCTGGTTTGCTATACATAATATCTATTATGAGCAGTTCTCTATCAGAATATGGCATTCTCGGGTTCGAGCTCGGCTACAGTTACGCCAATCCCAACTCGTTAATTTGTTGGGAAGCTCAGTTTGGCGATTTTGTGAATGGAGCGCAAATTATCATTGACCAAGTAAGTATTTATTATTATTTATTTATAACATTTATTATTATTATTATTATTATTATTATTATTATTATATATTTAATTTATTTTTTTGTTTTGTATGTTTTTTTATTTTGTATACATATTTTTTATAACTATTTTTTATTATATTTTTATAAATAATTATTACCTTTACTTAACTTTCCTTGAGTTTTTCAGTATATATATATTGTATTTATAAATATTTTGTAGTAATATTTATTTATAAATAATAAAATATTATCTATAGAAATTTTTATTTTTATATATCTATAATAAAACTTTTAGACTTCCAATTTTTTTATTTTTAATATTTTTAAATAAAATATTAACTTTTTTAAATTTTATAATTTATAATAAATGTGGGAAATTTATTATATTATAATTTCCAAAAAAAAATTCTCTTTTGATAATTTAAAACTTTCATTATACTAAAACGTTTTCACTACTCTTTTTTATATTTTTTTAATCTTTTTTCACTTTACTATTTACTTTTGTGAAAATGGAAAAAATATATATAAAAAAAATAAAGTAAGTTTTACTATAAACTGCTATTTATATGGAATATTTTATTGGGAGATTTTAATAATAAAACCATTTAAACTAATCAACTCACTATAGTTTCTGTCTTCTGGTGAGCAAAAGTGGCTCCGCCAATCAGGATTGACTTTGTTTCTACCACATGGCTACGAAGGAATGGGCCCCGAACATTCTTCTGCTCGGCTCGAACGTTTTTTGCAAGCGGTCTCTTTGTTGATTTCACTATGTTTTCTGCTTGTTTTTTTTTAGATTTAGTGGTTGGCCATAAACGCTTTCAACCAAAATTGTGATATATTATTATTTTATTGTTATATGATTGGTTATATTTACTTTTAACTGAATTTGTATTATTAAACGTTGTGTGCTTGCTCATAAACGTTCCATTGGAATAATTTTAAATCTAACATAAAATTTTACTGTTTATTATATTATCTTTATTAATATTTATAATTAAGAAAAAGTATTTTCTTTTCTTTATGCAAATTTTTTTTAGTGCGATGATAATTGCGAGGTTTTTCCCGATAATTTATCCGCAAAGCGGCAAATCCAGCAGTGCAATTGGTCTATTAATACAAAGAAAATAGAATATAAAAATTATTATTTACTGATAAAAGAATATTAATTTTTTTTTAATGTAGAATTATTAATATTTTTATATGAAAAAGTTGTTACCAAAAGTAATTGTAATAGAGATAAAAAGTTCTGTTATATAATACTGATACTAAAAAGTAAAGTTTAATATTATTACAAACTTTATTAACTAGAAATATAAAGAAATACTGTTATTAAAAAATATACTCATAATATATATAAGTAAAAAAACAAGAATAATAAGGCCGAAAACTTAGCAATAATCATAATATTTTTGTTTACGAGAAATTTAATTTTTTACTGCTTCATTTATTTTTATTACTAAAAGAATTTTTGTTTTTAGGCAAGTCCTTAATTGCAGCACTCCCGCCAATCTTTTTCATGCTTTACGCAGGCAGTGCCATAGAGATTTTAGAAAACCGGTAGAAACCTTTCTTCTTCTTTATTATTATTATTATTATTATTATTAATTGTTATTATTACTTTTTCAAGTTGATCTTGATAACTCCGAAATCTTTGCTGCGTTTGGAGGCATGCACCTCCTCATTAAAAGAAATGGCGGAAGGCACGCGCTTTGAAAGGCTTTTATTTGAAAAAAAAGTTATTTTTTATTATTATTTAACTATTATTTCATTATATTTATTGTTTTTAAATGGTTTCCTACAAGTCTTCCGACTCATTTCGAAAAGTTATATTTTGCACTGGAAAAGTAAAGTATACTTTAATGGAAGCTCGAAAAGAAGCTGGCTTAGAGAAGTATTATTATTATTATCATCGTTTTAAAGAAAACTTTCCCCCCGATAAAACTTATTATTGAATCATTATTAATAGTGAAATCGCTATTGCTTCTGTTGAGCAGATTGCACCGTTTCCATTCGATCTTGTAAAGCAGCAAGTCGAAAAGTTTCCAAGTGCTTCTATTGTTTGGTGCCAGGAGGAACCCAAAAATATGGGTCTTCTATTTATATCCATTTTTATTGGTCAATCATCATTTCGTTTTTTCATTTCTTGTGGGAAATTTTTATCTTAATTTTTTAAATTTGCATTTCCGTATGAATTTTTCTTTATTTTTAAACCCTCAAATTTCTTAGTAATCAATACTTTTTTTCAACAATTTTATTGGTCACCTTGTTTATTTACTTTTTTATTTATTGGTTGCTTCACTTATTAGAAGTTATATTTTTTTAACAATATACTTCATTTTTTTTCTATATATTATTATTATTGCGTTGCTTTACTTATTTAAGTCAACTTGTTATTTTTTCAATTAATTTTTTTTTGCTTGATACTTTATTATTATTGAATATTTTTTTTATAGTTATAATCATTATTTTTCTATTTTTATAATTCATTTTCAATGTTAATAACACAAATTTGGTTGTTGATAACGTTTTTTTACCTGTTTATTGGTAGCTTTAAATATTATTTATTTGTTGGTTGCTTTACTTATTTGTTAATATATATATTTATGAATTCTACTTTTCATCATTAAATTATTTGTTTATGAATATAAAAATTTCTGTTTCACTAATTTTATAATTTATATATTTTAAATATAAACTGTTTTCCTTACAATTTTATATATTATTAAAATTTTCGCATTTTTACATAATATTTAAGTATTTTTCATGTTTTACTAAGTTATTATAATAATTATTATTATAAGGTCGCATGTTTTTTTAATTTTTGTAGGTTTTATAATTTCTTATATTATAAACTTTTTAATGAATTTTTTTTCAAAATTTTTTTGTTATTAATTTTTGATATAATTTTCATTTTTATTATTATTATTATTCATATTTTTCAGGCGCATGGAGCTACGTCAAGCCAAGAATATGGACGTCTCTTAAAAATTCATCCACCCATAAGGATTGCCATCCAACGTATGCTTTATAAAAAACCAACCAGATTTTTTATATAGATTTACTGGTTGTAAGTTTTATTAGGTTTATTTATTACCATTATTTTTTTTTCAGTGTGCGCACTTTTTTTTAGTAAAAATAAGTATAACACTAGAAATGCCGCTCATTATTTTAATGTAGTTTTTCCGTAACATAATTTGTATTTTACTTTTTTTTCTAGTCATTATTAATATAGCTTTTCTTATTAAAATTATTTAATTCTTCTTACAAATCCATTAATTACTTTATATTTTTTTATAACGCTTTTTTCCATTTTTTTACAAATTTAATGGAGCCCTTAAAAAATTTTAAATAGTTTTATTAATTCATTGATTTTATTACTATCTGTTCACGTTATTAATAGAGTAAAAAATTATTGATGATAGTATTGATACTTTTATGTTTCATTATTTTTTATTAAATTTCATAGTCTTTTTATTTAATAGTTTTTTCTTTCATTTTACTTAACCTTCAAAAAAAATAATTTAATACAATAAATATTATTTATTACTATTATGTCAAAGTAAAAATTTATATTGTTTCCTGGAAATTCTCATAGAATAATTATAATTAAAAGTTTAATAAATAAAATGATATTACTAAATTATAATATTATTACTAATTTTATGTTTATTATTTTTATTGAACTTTTTCTTATAATGTTGTTGTTCATTTATTTTATTAAAGCCGTTAAAGAATTTTTAATAGTTGTATTAATTCTATTATTATTATTATCTGTTCACATTATTAATAGTGTAAAAACCTAATCACAATATTTTTAATATTTTCACGTTTAAACTCATAGTTCTTTTTTTGGTTAAGCCAATTAAAAATGTATAGCTTTACTGGTTTATCTGTTTAAGAAATTATTAATTATTATTAACGAACTAAAAGTATATCGTTTTTTTATATATTTTTATAAATTATTATTAATTAAAGGTTAGTATATCATTTTTTTAGTTATTATATATTTTATTTATATTATTATTTATTATTTTATTATTAATAAAAGTAACATCTTAATATTTTTATTTGTGAATTGTTCATTATTATTAATGCTATTATGATTATTATTCACCATTGTATTTGCTACAGGTACGTCGGTCGTCCTCCTTCTGCTGCAACTGCCACCGGCGTAAAGTCGCAACATTACAAAGAAGAAAAAAACTTTTTGAATGAAGCGATGTCTTGAGTTTCCACTATTTTTTATTTTTTTATAAAAATAAAAAAATAGCGAGCTAATTTTTTTCTTTTTATGTTTATATAAATTTTTTCAAGTTATATTTGTTATTATTGTTATAGATTTATTATTTTTTTGGTTTAATTATAAACTTTTATAGTTTGAGTTATTATATTTATATAGTTGTACATTTTAAATATATATAGCTATAACGTTTAAGTTATTATATTTATATATATTTCTTTTTTTATATTTATATATATTGAAGGAGTTTATACTTTTTTTTTATAATTTTTCTTTTTTTTCTTTTTTTGTATAAATATTTACATTAATAAAGTTTAAATTATTATTTATTTTTTATCATTTTATTTTTATAAATAATAACTTAGTAAATAATATTAAATATAATAAAAAAATTTTATATTATTAAATTTTATCTAATTTTTTTTATAATATATGTAACTTTTTACTACTTTTTAATTTATTTTTTAAGATTTCTGTTTTTTTTTATAAATATTATGATAATAGTTGAGATGTCTATAAAAGTGGTTAAGTAAACTGAGTGAAAATTATAGGAAAGTATAAATTATAATTATAATAAAGTAATAGTAATAATAATATAATAAACTTTTTAGTATATTTTATATAAAAAAATTGTTTATTATATATTTTCTTATTTTATAAATAAAAAAATTGTTGGTTTTATATATAGTTAAGCGTCATCTTCTTCGTCGCTTTCAATTAACGTTGTTTTTCTTTTTATTTTTCTGGTTCTTTAAATAATAATAATAATTAATAGAAAAAATAATAATAGCAATAAACTTTAAAGTATTTTCCGAGTCTCCGTAGTTATGGCCTTCCTTAAATATATAAAAAACATAATAAGTAAAAGTTATTAAAAAAAGCAACTTTATGATAATAATGATAATACTAATATTAATAATAATAATAATCACTATAATACTTTTTGCAGAGGACTAGTAGAATTTTGATAATGGGGATTGAAAAGCAATGAATTTTCTTTATTTATTAATAATTTATATTTAAAAATAATAAAATAATAATTAATTTTTAAAATTATATATAAAAGTATACAAGTTAAAGGCATAAGAAACCTATAGTATTTTTTATTTTTATTTTTTATTATATATTTTATTTATAAATAATAGAAAAATAATAATTAATAAAGTTTTAGAACAACTTATATAAGTGTAAAAGTATAAAAGGTCGAGAGATTTGTAGTATCTTTTATTTATTTATTAATTCTTTTTTTATAAATTAATTACTAGAAATTTACTTACTATTTTTCTAATTCATTATTTATTGTTTTTATAATTTTGTAAAAATTTATTTATTAATAAGTATTTTATAATATTTTTATTGGAATATTTTATAACACAAAATCTATTTATTATTATTATATTTTTTATTTATAAGTTTTTATTATTTAATATTTATTATCATTAGTTAATAATATTTCGATTTGCTTTATTATTTTGCTATATATTAAAAACTTATTATTTTTTAATAATATTCTTTCTGGTTTTTATTTTATTTTTTACTTATTAGCCCTTATAAAATAATAATTTAAGTATTATATTTAATTTATAATATTCTATTAGTTTTTATATTCTGCTTTTTGCTAAAAATTTATTTATTATTATTTTTAATTTTATTTTATAATAAAATTTTTTGATATAATTATTATTTTATAATATTTTTAATTGTTTTTGTTATTTAATACAAATTTTTTTATTATTGTTATATAATATTTTTATTTGTTTTTATTATTTAAAAGTTTATTTATAATTAATATTTTTATATATTTATTATTTGAGTTTATACTTATTATTTTTTATTATTTCTTATAAAAAAGTTATACATTAATACATATATATTAGTTTTTATTTTTTATGTTTATTACTATTTTTATTAGTAATTTACTTTTTATAATTGAATATTACGATAAAAACTGATTTATTTTTATATTCCTCTTTAATGCTTTTCGTATTTTAGTGTTTAATAAAAATTATTTAATGTTATATATATTTATTACACTTTAAATAAATATTTATCTTTGTTATTATTTGATTTAAAATATATATTCATTATAATATTTATAAAAAATTTATTTATTACTATTATTTTACCTTTTATGTTTATTGTGTTCGTGTTCTTGCTTTTTCGTTGAAGAACTCTAAAAAAATATAAAAAGTTTCATGAAAAATTGTAGCCATCAAATTAATATTAATAAACTTTTTAATGATTCTCTTATCATCGCCATCATTAACATCACTTTTACTAGTACTACTGTTAAATGGTTCGTTGGGCTCAAGTTCGGCTTCGGTTACCTCCGAACTCGAACCTTAACAATATTTTTAATGAATTGTATTTTTAAAATAAATAAAGAAAAAGGTTTATAAAAGTAAATTATGTGTGAATTTTCATTTTTTTAAATACTCTTATATAACAGATAATAAGTAAATAAAATAAATTATATTATAACAATAAAAATATTTTAAGTATACTTATAATGATATCTTTAAAATCGAATAGTTGTTATTAGCAATATGTTTTATATAGAGCGTTTAAAAATAATGAACGCAAAAAAAATATTACAAAATATATATAAAAAGTAAAAATGTTTATGAATAATATTATTTATTATAATATCACAAAAATAAGTAAAAATTGTAATAGTAATATAATATAATATTATTATAGGTTATATTTAATATATTTGGATTTTCATTATTATAACTGTTTACAATATATTTTTTTTATGGAACATTGATAGATAAAAATTATTAATATAAAAAATTGTATTATTTGTGATTTGTATATTTTTTACTGAAAAATATAAGAAAATATAATAAGTAAAAAAAAATTTATTTATAAAAACAATTAGACTTGCATTATTAAAAAATTTTGAAGATATAAAAAAAATAAACTAAAAATGTTTATAAAAAATTTTTTCAAAAAAAAATAAATATAGTAATAATAAGTAAATAATAAGTAAATAAAGATTGTATATTTTTATTCGCATATATTTTAGAGCTTCATTATTATTATTTACAATTTTTATAATGAACAGCCTTATATAATAAAAATAAATATAAAAAAACGTTATTTAATATTTTTAGTATTGCATTATTATTATTATTATAAACCTTAAACCTTATAATAAAAGAGTTTACATGTTATAATAATATACTTCATATAATATTTTTATTTTCTTATTATGATTATAATAATTATTTAAAAAAAAAAAGGTTAAGGCGAGTTATTATTTACATTTTTTAGTATTTATTTATTTCTAAAAGCAGTACTAAAGATATATATAATAATGAAGTCAATAATAATATTAAATAATCCTATTATTGATATAAAAACTTTTTAAATTTTTTTATATATATTAGATGATAATGAGAATTATATTAAAAGTTTTTAGTATCTTAATAGAATATTATTTCACTTGAAAAAATGATATATTTTAATAGTTTTATTATAACTTTTAATAAACAAGAATAATTCATAGTAAAATTTTAATGGTAGTAATTGTATTTGTATGAAATTATAAAGTTCACTAAAAAGTATAAATTAAATTTATATATATTTTTTCATATAAAAAATCACTAATATAAAGGAAATTAATATAAAATACATTAAAACTACTACTATAAACCATAATAAATTTTATATTTTTATAGAAAAGTTGATAAATAATAAATTTATGATTTATTATAAATTTGCACGTAAAAAAAAAGTGATACTGAACGCCGCAGAAAAATATTGAAGCTTATAATAAATTATTTTATTCGTATAAAACTGTTTATAAAAGAATATGCATTGAATGTTTTTATTTTCAATAAATTAATGAGCTTTTCTAATGGTACAATGACCACGTGATGAAGCCATATTTGTGAAAAGTACATGTGCAATACACGCGGTTCTTAAGACCTTTTCGAAGTCCACCTGCGGGAGGATTGAGAAAAAGACAGCAAGAGAAAGTCCGAGACTTTTTATTGTCCATTACGGGGCAGCGTCTCTGCGTTAAATAATGAAACCTAATTGGCTTGCCCTGTTCACGGCAACCGTCAGAAGAGTAATAGTATGCCCACCAATAAGACAGCCCCCTTTTTTACAGCGTGATTTATTCATAATAAGCGAAGGCCACCTCGATCAATGAACGAAGTAGTTCGCTGTTGTCTAGCACAGTAGAAACTTCCGGATTCACTAAAACAGAGTACTCGTAATAATATTATGTAAGCTTTTCTATAACTCATTGGGAAAGTTGCACTCTTCAAAGTTACAAAAAAGCTATACGACTTTTTTTTATCTCCTAAAAAATTACACTTTTGCTTAACTAAAAATACAGTACTGCTTTAGAATTTTAAGGGGGAAAACGATTTACTTTATTTTTAACGATATTTATGAAAAGTAAATTTAATAAATGAAAAAATCTTAAAAGATTTATAAATTTCTTACTTCCGATAGTTTCTTCAGTTATAACTTTTTCCAGATCGTTATTATAACTTTTATTTAATATATTTTTTTCCCTGTATTAACGAAATATTTAAATTAATAATTGAATTAATTAGAGTTAACGATTTAATTTATTAAAATATTATAACATTTTACGTTTCGATAAAACTTTGTATAAAATTATATAATGATTTTTTTGGCCTTTAGAAGATTTAATAATTTATAATAAATAACTTCTTTGTAAAAAAATTTTACTATAAAAAGTTTTTAAAATTTTGAATATGAAAAACTTTTTAGTCTTATAATTCAGTAAAGTATAAAAAATAATATTTTGTAATTAATATATAAAAATTTAAAATTTTTTTTAAGTTAATATTATAAACTAAAAAAATATATTTTTTTGTAAAATTTTTTTTAAAGATGAAAAAATAATAAAAAACTTATATCTACTGCTTTCAGTGTAGCACGTGAAAATTTTGCAAGTTTTTGATTTAGGTTATATATTTATTTTTAATTTAAGACTTTTGTTAAATTTAATTCTCTTCAAAAAAATGATTTGAAAAAAATTAATATAATAATATAATAATTTTAAAACACCATAAATAAAATTAAAATATAAATGGTTCTAATTATTAAGAAAAAAAATCACAAAACTGGAAATTCATTTACAAATATAATCGAATTAATATTTAATTCACGAATTATAACAAATTCTATAAATTTTACTTAAGGTTTAAATTCTTTTATGAAAAGTTTTGCTTATATTTTTTAAAAAATAAAAATAAAAAACTGATCTGTATATTTCAAAAAGCAGAAGGACAATAAATTAATTTGTATAAGAAGTTGTTTTTAATAAATTTATATACGAAAAACCTTAATAAAAAAAAATTCTATATAATAAGAAATGGACTTTTTTAGTAAACAACACTAACATGAATACATAATCAAAAAATATAAAAACTTAATTATAATTATAAAAAAAAAATTAAGTGAATGAGGAAGGCGGACTTAATATTTACATAAGTTATTCAATTTAATAAATAATTATACCTGGAATTAATTATAATCAAATAAGATGAAGTAAATATAAATAAAAATCAATAAAAAAATTAAAAAATTACGTTTTATTTATAAAAAATTTTAACAACTTTAGTTTATAAACTGATTGTAAATATAATTAGTTATAATTATAATTTACAAGTATAGATAATTTATGTTATAAATAAATTTAATATGAAAGTTAATAGTATTCTAATAATCTACTCCAGAATAGTATAAATAATAAATAAAATAAATAAAATATGAGTAATAAATTTTAGTAGATTCTAATTTTTTTTAAATTTATAATTCTAATTTAAAAATAAATTTAAGTAGATGGAAAGTAATTTCTTAAAAACTATAAATTAAATTTACACAATAAAAAAATAAAATCTTAATTTATAAATTCTACAAATTAATAGAAGCAGAAAAATCATCAGCATTAGACCAAACTGAAGTTTTATTTTTCAAACTGATTTCTGTGGATTTCTATTTTATATAATTTGAAATTTTGAATGCAGAACTTTAATTTATTTATAATTAAATAATTTGCGTGTATGAATCACTAAAGTAGAGTTTTTATAGAGGCTTCTGTTTCACGGAATAAAAATAAAATTAAAAACCCTTAAAAGATTTAAAAATTGATGAAAAATATAAATATCTGTTTATAAATGAAGAACACTTTTTTATTTGCCTATTATATTAAAAAAATCAAAAAAAGTTAAAAACGTTAATAACTTTACTATTTTTTTTAACAAAAAATTTGAAAAATTAAAGTCTTAATGAAGTAAACTTTTAATAACCAATTGATAAAAGCTGAACAATTATTTTTTAAAAAAAAAAATACTTTTTATTATAGTCATTGATAATAAGGAACCTTCTGCGGGCGATAAAAAGTGGAAGATTGAGGAAAAGTGGGTTTGGAAATACTTTTGAGTAAATCACTAAAGTTGTTAAGTTATTTATACAGAGAAGTCTAAGTTCTTGAAATTTTAAAAAAAACTTAATTAGGATAAATTATAAGAAAATAAAATTAAAATCATCATAAGAAAATAGTTATAAACAAATTGAAATATATTCTTAATTTGTTGTACAATAATTATACAAAGTATATGTATTTTAAAACTTTAAAATAGAGAGTAAATAAAACAAACTAAAAAAAAAAGTGATAAAGTTTTAATCCTCGTTTGCCCATAATAAGAATATACTTCTATTTTTAAAGTTGTTATACAGAAAATCATAAAGAAAAGTCTACGTTTTCCTAAATTTCTAATTACAAAGTAATAAGAAAATTTGAAAAGAAAAGTAGTAAAAAGTAAAACTAGTTTACTTTTAATGAAATAATAATTTATGAGAATCAAAATTTGCTTCTAAAGTTATAAAGTTATTCATATGAAGTCAAAGTTATTCAATATTTTAAATTAGACACTGAATAATAGAAAATTAGAAATAGTGGTATAAAGAAAAACTCTTATATTTACATTAAGTAAATCTTATAAAAGAAAATATATAAAAGAAAAAAAAATTATTTTAGTTGTATGAAGAAGTCAAAATTGTTTAGTATTACAAAAAAAGTAACTAATTAAAAATTTAACAAGAAATGGTAGTAAAATTTAAACCATTAATAGTAAGTAAATAATTTAGAAGAAAATGTATAAAAGATTGAAAAAAAAATTTGTTGTAAAAAGAAGTCAAAGTTGTTCAATATTTTATACAGACTAAAAATTAAAAAGAAATAATGGTAAGGATAAAAACTTTTTTATTTGTAATACGAAAATGTTTCAAAAGAACACAACTAAGAAAAACAATATTTATTCCAAAACTTGTGTGACAATTAAATTTCAATACTTATTTAGTTTTAAAAAATATATAAAAATCTTTTTTTACAAAAGTAAATAAATATATTCACACTTTTCTTCATTTGAAGCTAGTATTTGTTCATAAATGCTAAAAAGTGCATCGAAAGAGGAATTTTCTTTTGAGTGAAGTAATTTGATTGCTGTTAAAAGAATGTCCTCCATTTTTTTCATTAAACTTAAGTTTATTAACAGAAAAAAAGTACAATTTAATATTAATTATCTCAAATATCAAGTTAATAATAACGTGTGGAAGTATTAAAAAGTTACTAATATTAAATTTGATATTTTAATTTACTTAAAGAATTTGTACGTTTACTAAAAATATATAAAACTAAGTAAATACGTTCCAGTCTCTACAGACTTTTATAAATCTTGTTCATGAACTACTTAAATAATGATTTATTTGTTCAATATACTTGAATAAATAAATTATCTGTTATAATAAAAAAGTTAAAATAATTTTTATTTCAGTAATTGAATAATTTTAATAACAATTTATTGTTGAGGAATTAAATTTATAATTAAACTGTTGTAATTATAATTTTTAATTATTCTTGTTCATTTCAATAATTTTTGTTTCACATTTCTGTAGAAAAGAACTACATTAATATTTATCCCTTTATAATATATAGTTTTTAAATAATTATTTCTGTTTCATATACTTATTGAACAGTTAAATAATTTGAAAATTTTGCAATACTTTAAAGAAATATTGTATAAATATTTATTTTATAATAATAATTTTTAAAATGATAACTTCCGTTAAGAATCTTAAAAAAAATTTTGTAAGGCAAACTTAAGCAAAAGGGTAACAGAAATTAACTACTTTGTAAACGTTCCTGCTTAAAAGAATGAAGAAGTTTTGTGTTAATTTTGTTCATATTTAAGTATAAGTCGACTACAGAACTATTGTTAAAAGTAAAACTATTTTTTTAATAAAACTTATTTTTTTTGTAAATATGTGATATTATCTCTGAGTTTCTGAGTGATTGCGATGAACTTAAATTGTTTCAAATTTAATTTTTTGCCAATAACGTTGATGAAAAACTTTAAGAATAAAGTAAAAATAATTTAATATTGGACTTACTTTACCAGACTACTTTCTTAATAGAAAATTAGCAGCACCTGTGTTATACTTAGAGCAGTTTTGTGAAAATATCACGTTTATAATTACAAGTATAACTTGACTATAAACCTTTTATAGCTCTGTTTCTTTTTTTTTTTTAATAGAAGTTATTTTTATAGTTAATCTTCAAATACTACTTTTAGATGTTAAGGTAAATGCGATAAATTTAAATTGCTTCAACGTTAATTTTTTTCCTAAAAACGTTGGAGATAAAAAACTTTGAGAAGAAAAATATTTTAATAATTTACTTAAACTGATTTCTTTTTTAGTAGAAAATTAACAGTACTTGCATCATATTAATAGTAAGCCGACCAACTTTTATTTAAGTCATTGTTTTATAAAAGATATTTTATTTATTCTGCCAAATATTAATAGATAGTTTGTAAACATTACTAAATATATGCCATAATTGTTAAAAAAAATTCGTTAATCTCTACTTTTTCTAAAATATAGTTTTTGTCGCAGCCCAGCTTGCTTTAAAGAAAATTTTTTAAAAAAAAGTATTATAAACCGTTAATTATTAAAAAAAATTTTGAACGCTTTAAATTTTTATTAAATTATATTTACTGAATATTACTAAGTGCAATGACAAGAATTTGCTAATATGTATTGCAAATTACGAAGAAATTTTTATCATAAGTTACTCAAAATGTATCGCATTGAACTCTTGTTAATTTATATTTCATGAATAATAAAAGTTATTTTTTATTATATAAATTACTAAATATTATACTAAAAGCAATCAGTTAATATAAATTTTATGAATAATTAAAAATTTACAATTTATATTTTATAATCAACAATGCTTATAAAATATTAAAATATTAATGAATGCTATAAATTTTATTCATTAATACTTTTTTACAAAAACTTATAATTAACTGAGAAATTGCAAAATAATTAATTAAATTAATAATTGCTTTATTAAGACAAATAAAAAAATTGATTTGCAGAGGATATTTCAGTTCCACGTGGACAACTTCATGGTTCCTTTTTCTAAAAAATTTTGATGCATTAAAAAAGCTTTGCGTAACATGTGCGGCTGGTGCATGGAGCCCGTCCGCTCGCATTCAGACTCGGCCATTTCAAGATAACTCTAAATTTATATAATAGTATGTATAATAGAAAAAAGTTTGATAGCTAAATAATAGTAATAATTGAATTCAATTTTATAAATTATAAATTTAGTAAAAAAGAAACTGTACATTTATATAAATATTTCAAGATATCTAAATTTATATAATAAAATTTATTAGAAAAAAAGTATGATAAGTAAATAATAATAGAATATATTTATTTATATTATAAATCAGTAAACAGTAAATTTATATATATTTCAAGGTAACTCACATTTATAAATTTTAAATTTAGAAAGAAATATTATATTTATATATATATATATATTAATTTTTTTTTGGCCGAATAATATTTAAGAAAAAACAGTTTTATTAGTAATAATAATAATAACACTTATATAAATTATAAATTTAGTGGAAAACGTTAATTTTATATAAATAGTAATATTTTTTTTTCGGTCGTTTTCAAGGTGACTCTAAATTTGTATAATAATCTTCATAAGAAAAAAGATTTTTAATAATTTATAATAGAAATAATATATTTAAATATATTCAGTAAGAAAAAATCAATTTTTGGCCGCATTTATAAATTATCTAAACGTAATTATTATTGTATTAACGAGCATCTAATATATATATTTTATTATTCTTTATTACATATAATTATATTTTTTTTATTTTTATTAATTATTTATTATATGTTATATATACAATTATTTCTTTTTATTTTTAATTATTATTTAAAACAGTTATGATTTCTTTTTATTTATTATAAATTTAGTGGAAAAAAACAGATTAAATCCAGAATTAAGAATTATTTATTTTTGTTATAAGTAACTCTCAATTATTATAGTAATGTTTATAAAAAAGGTATTACCACTAATAATTATAATATAAAACAATACGTAAACTATTATATTCGTAAAAAATATTTTTTCCCCGGCAAAAGCAAGATAATTCTGACTATATAAAATAATATATTTATAAAAAAAATTCTATAAATAATAATAACATATTATATAAATTTAAAATTAATTAAGTATATATTATTTTCTTTAAAAAACAATAATTAGAAGTTAAAATTAGATTTTATCGGACAAATTGAGGTTCAATTGCATTACATAAATAAATTATAAATATTTTTTAGTAATAATAATAAATATAAAAATATTAGTCAACGTAATATTTAAACTATAAATTTAGTGATAAACTTTAATTTAAATATTTGAAAATTTATTTTTTTTCGGCCAATTTATATAATATTTAAAAGAAAAGAAGTTTTATAAATAATGATATACGTAAAAAATTATATAAAATTTAGTTGAAATAAATAAATTTCAAAACCCACTGCAGTAATTACAACGTTATTATCCTTTACATAAATTTAGTAAAAAAAGTGACAGAAAAATTTAGAATGTAAAAATTATTTTTGTTTTAAATCGAAATTCGGTTAAGAATAAATAAATTCGAGAACTATATTATTTAATTTTTTTTTTAATCTAAAAATTTTAAATTTTAAATTGTAAATTTTTAATTTTTAGTTTATATTATAAATAAGTAAAAATTTTACTCAATTCTAAAAAAGAAATGATAATTTTTTTTTATAAAATAGTAAAACTTAAAAAATTTTGTACATAAATTTTTAAGTTTATAATTTAACAGCATAATTCTCTAATATTAAACCGTTTTTTTATAAAACAAAATTATATTTAATTTTATTATTAACCAAAACAATAAATTTAAAGTAACAAGAAAAATTCTCGTGCTTAATATAATTAAGATAAAAAGTTTTAAGAAATTTACTTTTTTTTCTAAAATAATATATTTTTTAAGTTAAAAATTAAATAATATTTAAAATATAATAAAAAATAAATAATAAATATTAATAAGTATGAAATAATAGTAATTATATATAAAGAAATAATAATAATAAATATCTATAAAAATGTCTAATAAAGAAAGTAAATGCTTAAAAAAATTTATTATAAAAAGAAGTATAACTTCTTAATTTTAAAAGAAAAAAACCCAAAAAAAAATTACTTACGTGAGAAGAGGTTAAAGTTGCATAACTTATAATAATTATCAATAGTAAAATTAAAATAATAACTTCTCGATAAAATAAAATAAATATAAATAAAACCAAAAGTTGTTCTTTATAATCCGGGTGGGAGCAGTTAGTAATGATGGCACGTGCACGTGCCCGCGGATCGAGTCTGCGACAGTCAGCTAAGCCCTTTAGGACAATAACAATAATAGAAATAATAATAAATAATGAAATGAGTTATTATTGATAATTATTAAAATATAATAATAATAATAGGTGTTAAATGAATAACTATGTTAGTGATAAAGGAATGAAGTTATCAATAATTATTAGTATTTTACAATAATAATAAGCTTTAAAATAATAACTATTACTATATATTACTATAATGGAATAAAATTATTATCAATATTTATTATAATAACTATATTATCATTATTTTTGGTCTTTTATTGTTTCTATTGTTTTATTTGTTTAGTTGTATTATTTTTTTTTCCTTTATTTTAATTCTTTTATATGAATAAATAAATAAACAACAAACTTTGCATAAAAACTTTTCATATATATAAATACAAAAGTAAATAAATCAGAAAGATAAGAAAAAAAAATTGTTTTACATTTTATATTTTTTTCTTTTCTATTATCTTTGTTAATTATATTTCTCACACTTCTCGTCTATTCTTTTTTATTTTATTTTATTATTTTATTATTATTCATTCAATTTCCTTTTACTTATTTACGTTCTGAGTATTATTATTATTACTATCATTAGTAAAAGTTATTATTTCAGTAATAATACTAACCTGTTCTGAAACGTAAATAAGCACATCGTGCTCGGTATGATCGATATGCGAGCAAAAAGGCACAAAGCAGGAGATGCCGGTTGGATCGGAAGGCGTGGGTCGGATAGACGGCGTATGCGTAATAGAGAGAAAAGAATTCCGTAGAAAATCGCCGCTTCCGCCAATACCGTTGATGACTCCTTAAAAATATTAAAAAAAAAGATAGTGAAGAAAAAAAAATAAACACAACCAATGAATAGTGTAACAGTACAACATATAAGTTTAAAAAAAAAATTTAAAGTTAAACAGCCAGTGATATGAGGAAATTTGCAATTCGAATTCCGCCAATACCTTTACGACTTTTTTAAAAACAAAAAAAATAAATATAGTGAAAAAAAAAGTTATATATATAATACTGAGCAATTAACAATTATATAAAAAAGTTTCCTTAAAAAAAAAGAGAACAGTCAATATATACAAAAAGTTTTGAAATATGAACTCCGCCAATATCGTAAATGACTTAAAAAAGGTAACATAAAAATTAAATGAAATATAAAAAATAAAAAAAAAATAGTGAAAGAAATTATGATAAAAAATTCCAACAACCAATAAAAAGAATAATTTAACAAAAAGTTTTAATGAAATAAAGAAACAACCAATCTAAAGACAGTTTTGTAAAACGATTATTTTGTGTATAAAATAACAATTGATGGAAATAATAATAATAAATTATTATAAAAATTTAAAGCAATTAACAATGTAAAACGTAAACAGCTTTTAACCAATAAAGATAATTATAGATAAGAAAATGATAAAGAACTATTGGTTACCTTTTAAGCAAAGAATTAAAAGAAAAAAATTTAAAATTAAAATGCTAAAGCCACGTGTTGGGGCGCAACATGATTATCGAAATTAAAACATAGAAATCAATATTTGGACGTGGTTCACTGTTATCGTTACTACTGGATAGAAATTTTAAAAGGATTAACCTTATACACAACCAAAAAAAAATTATATAACATAAATTTTAAAAGTAACAAAATAAAGAAGATATATATTTAATATATTAACCAAAAAATATTAAAAATGAGTAAAAACTTACAGAAAACAAAAAAAACTTTGTTACATAAAAAATATATTAAATTAATTTATTAAATACTTTAATAAAAAACTAATAAATTTAATAAAAATAAATAAACTAAAAAATTCATTAAATAAAGAAAATAACGAAATAAAAAAAAATGGAAAAAATTTTGAGTCGCTTATTGGCTATATCACAGTAATAAAAAAAATATATTTTTCTTAATGAAATGTAAAGTGTGATAAAAAATACCTTTTTTATATATAATATTTTAAATTTTTTTATTTATTAATTATTAGAAATTTTGATAAAATACTTAAAAAAACTAATTGATCAATAAAATTGTTTATAGACAGAGTTTGCGCCAATAACACCACTCCAGCATAATATATGGAAAAAAATTGGTTAACTTTAATTCACTAAATTTAACACCAAGACACATCCTGTCCAATCATCCCTTGTTTTTCATGGACGGTCCAACTACAACAGAACGCGACTTAACATTCAATAAGTGGATTATTACCAACCACATGGTCCTTTCAACAATTAAAAGTATATAAAAATTAAGCAAGGGGGTTTTACTTTTTAATTCTATTGGCGTTTTAATCTCAATAGCACCCACTTAAATTATTTTTAGTTATGTATATAAAATATTCACGTGATCCCATCACATGGGAAGAGTTCACATGGCCGTATATATCAATTTCTATTGGTGTGTTCATCGCAATGACGCCAAGTCGGCGGATGTTCTATTATTATATTAAAAAGTATTAAAAATTTTTACAAAAAAAAATAGTCATAAAATTTTTCATAAAAAAGACAGATTTTTTATCAACAATAACTTTACTTCTGGATGGTTAGAAATAAATTGCGGTCGTATTATAATTTTTGGTGCGTAGTGGTCCCTAATAATAATAATATAATAATATAATAATATAACTATTATAATAATACCAATTCTTATAAAATCTTTGAAAGCCGGGAACGGAAAGGGAAACCTTTATAGTTATTTTTACATTAAAGAAATTCATTAAAGGCAAATAAAATATATGAAACGGCAGTGGTGGACGCAAATCTCAGCTTTCCTGTGTCAAACCAGTTTAACACTGCATTGGTAAATAAAAATATTAAAAAAAAACTTTCATAACAATAAATAATAGATTGTTATTTTAAATAAACTTTTATAATAAAGTAATTAGAAATACATTTATAAAGTTCATATAATTTAATTTTATTAAATTTTGATAAAGACTCGTAAAAAAAAGTTTTTTGAAAAACAAATATTAAGTTTTTATATTTAACACACTTTTGAAGAAAATGTTTTAAATAATAATATTAGAAGTTTTGTTTATAATATTTATTATTTACAATCAATTTTGATAAAAACTTTCGTAAAAAAAAAATTAAAAAAAGTTTATATTTAATATTTATTGTTTACAATATTTTTTTATATAGACTTTTGAAAAAAATAGTTTTTTATAGAAAACATAAAAGTTTCTATATATTTATTATTTCTATAGATCTTCTTATTAAAAAACAGTTTTATAAAAAATTATTAAATTTTTATATATATTAATTATTATAAGTTCTAATAAACTTATGCAAAAAATGGGTTCTTTACAAAATATGATAAGTTTATATATTTATTATTTACAATAAATTTCAATAAACTTATGAAAAAGAAAACTCTTTAAAAAATATAAAAGTTACATAATAATTAGGATTATAGTTTCTAATAAAGTAGCAAAAAAAAAAATTCTTTATTGAAATATACTAAATTTCAATAAACTATAATATATTCTTAAAAAAATATAAAAGTTTATATCTTAACAATTTATAAATCCCAATAAACTTTTGTAATGAAAAAAGTTTTCAATAAATTTCAGTAAAAACTTCCTTAAAAAAAATAATATTTGTTTATTAAAAATTATAACAAAAACTAAATAATTTTTTTTTTTAAAATAAGTTTAAATGTTTATATAAATTTACTATTTATTATATATTTCTATAAAAACGTAAGGAAAAATTTTATAAAAGAAATAAAGAAAGTTTTTATATAAGATTATTAGTTACTATTAAGTTTATTATTAACTTTTGTATATAAAAAATTATATATAGATTATAAAAAATTCATTTATGTTTTGTAAAAAAAAGTAATCAAAAATATTCTTAAAAAGAAATGATAAAGTTTGTATATAATATTAATTATTTACAATCAGTTTTTATTAGAAGTTTTAGAAAAAAAGCTTTTTAAATAAAATATAAAAAGTTTATATATAATTTTTACTTATAATATGTTTTGATAAATAAAGTTTGTTAGTAAAATTCAATTTTGGTAAAGATTTTTTTAGAAAAAAAAATTTAAATTACTTATAATATATTCTAATAGACTTTTATAAAGTGTTAGAAAAGTTTTTTATAATAATAATTCATAATATTTAATAAAACATAAAATGAATATAAACAATAAACATACAAACTTTAATTATATAGAAATCTATGTAATTTTATTATAATAAAAATTTTTTAAAAAATAATAAATTAATATTAAAACAATACTATAATATAATAACAATAAAACTTTTATTATTTCCTTTTGTATATAATAATAAATCATTTTTAAATAAATTTTATTCATAATACAAAAAGATAATAATAAATATGTAAAGAGATTTGTGTTTATAATAATATTAAATAAGTAATATATATATCAACTTTATTAAAAAGCAATATAATAAGTAATTTTAATAAAATACTTACGTAAACTTTAATAAGGGAAATTTAAAAGTTAATTATAATAAGTAACATAATAAATAATATATAAAACGCAGTAAAAAATATAAATAAAAAAATAAATAAAAAAATAGTTTCGCTAAAAAAGTAAAGAAAACTTATTTGATAAAGAAATACTTTATTAATATTTTTTTTAATTTAAAATATTTGTAAAAAGTCAAAAAAAGGTTTACCAAATAAAATTTTATATCTAAAAATTACATAATAACATTTTTATAGTAACAAAGAAATATAAACAGTTGCACTTTAAAATTTATTATAATAAATTCAAAAAAATAGTGAATAATAATAATAAATATGAAATACAGAATTAAAATAATAAATTATATAAAAAATATATGAATTGTATAGTTTTACTGTTTGGCATGAAAATAAAAATAATAATATAAATAATGAACTCACAGTAATACTAAATAGACGAAAAGTATATAACATTTAATAAATATGTAAAAGTAATAATTATATATAAATATTTTTATAAAAAATAATAATTATTAATATAATTATATCATAATAATAAAGTATATTATTTAAAAGTTTGATAATAAAACGAATTATTTAACAGATAAATAAATTAATAATAATTATTATATAATACCCAACCTTCAAAAATATAAATATACAAAAAGTATTAAAAACGTATTAATAAATTTTATTATAATAAATAAAAATTATATAGTAATTATAATAATACTATTCAACAACTCAAAATAATAATAAACATATAGAAAGGAGTCATTATATATATAATTTTTTTATGATAGGAAATATTAAAAGAGGTAATAATAATAACACACTCTACAAATCATAATAATAAGCAATATAAAAGTAATAATTCTATATTTTTTTCTTAGTAACAATATATATATTAAAAGTAATAATAATAAAATGCTTTACTAATCACATAATTTGATATATTATTTTTTTAATTCTATATTATTAATTTTTTAAAACAATTAATATTATTAGTAATAAGAATTTTGTTATTTATAAATATAAACGAAGTTTTTTTAATAATAAATTTTTATAGTAATAAAAATTATAAAATAATAAATATAACTAATAATAATAATATATAAATGAAGTTTTATAAATAATGATAAATATTAAAAGTATAATAAAATAAATACTCTACTTATCACTATAATAATTATATAAAAGTAATAGTTCTATATTTAATTTTTTTTTTAATATAATAAATATTTATAGTAATAAGAATAACAAAATAATAAATATAAAAAGTTATAAATATATAATTAATTTTCTAAAAATAATAAATATTATAAAAAATAATATATTAAAAATCTCTTATCATAATCATTAATATAAAAGTAATAAATCTATATTCCTTTTGGAAATTAATATATATTAATAGTAATAATAATTATAAAGTAACAAAAATGAAAAGTAATAATTATATATGATCGATTTATTTAAAATATAAAAACTACTAATGATATAAAATTTAATTTATAAATTATAATAATTGTTAAACTAATTATAATAATAATAAAAAATAAAGAAGTTATAATGAAATATAAATGACGTTTTTTTGCATAAATATAAAAATAATAATAACATAAATTCTTAACTCACAATAATAATAAATGTAAAAAGTAATAAATAATAAATGAATTTTTTTAAATAATAATAAATATTGAAAGTTATAGTAATAATAATTTAAATTTTTAACTCAATAATAAATAAAAGAAGTAATAATGATAATAGCAACGCGCCTGTATCCTGCAGAACTTCCGTCCACATGGTCACGTTCTCAAATCTGCTACTGGCCAACCCGGATATCACGGCGTTCGCAATATTTCCAACTCCTGACTGCGGATAAATACAAGAAATATTACGAATAAACTTGAGCTCTTAAAATTATTGCAATATCAAGAAATGTTTTAGATTTTTTTTAGTAGGAATATAAAATTATTTTAAAAAAAATTCATCAACATAAAAATAATAAAAAATCGTTAGTGTAAACTTTTTTAGAATATAAAAAAAACTTTATTATTATCACCTTTTATATTTTTAACGATAATAAATATCTTTAGTAGTACTTACGAGTTAGAAAAATAACTACCATTATTTAATTTTTTATTAAAATAAAAATTATTTAAAAAGAATTCATTATTGAGAAAATAATATAAATTGTAAAGCAATTATTTATATTATTATTAGAAAAAATTTTATATTAATTTTTTTAAATAATAAACAGAAATATATTAAGTAGTTTTAGGAATATAATAATTATTTTTTTTATAATTATTTTATTTTTTATAGTATAAATTATTATTAATACCAAGAAATTATTTGTACAAAACTTATATTTATATCATTATAAAATTTATTAATTATTTTGTAAAATTATAATTATAAATAGTAAATTTTTATAAATAAAAAACTATTTTTATTTTTATTATATTTTTAATAGTGAAAATATTATTATAAAGAATATATTAATACAAAAATAACAACAATATCTAAGCATTAAACCTTTTTCTTATATTATTATTAGAAAAACTTTGTTATTATTTCTTTTTTAATTTTAACAATAATAAATTTAATTAGTAGTTCTCATAAACAGGAAGTAATTATTAATATTTTCGTTTTAATAAAATAAATTATTCTTATGAAGAATTTATTAATACAAAAATAACTGAAATATCGCTAACCAATTAACTTTTTAATTAGTTTTATTAGAAAAACTTTATTTTTATTATTTCTTATTTATTTTTAACAATAATAAATATATTATGTAGTTCCTACGGACAAAAAAAAAACAATTATAATACATAATAACATTAATACTATTATAAAAAATTTATTAATACAAAAATAACAAAAATCATTAATAATAAACTTTTTTATATATATTTTTATTAGAAAAATATAATATATTTTTAAAAAATTATAGATATATTAAGAGTTTTTACGAATAAAAAAAAATTCACAATTCTTAATTATCAGTTTATTTTTAATAGTGTAAATCATTAATATAATTTTGAAGAATTTTTTTTACAAAAAAATAAATTTTCGTTAAGCAACAATCTTTTTATTATAAATTTCATAAAAGTTTATTATTATTTTATTATTATATTAATATAATCATATATATAGTAAAATTTTATAAATATTTTTTTATTTGTATAAAGTATCATTAGTATTATATATTTATCAACACAAAATGTAAAATTTTTCTTCAAACAGTAAACTTTTTTTTATTTATTGTTTATAAAAATTCTATTAATTATTTTAGAATAGTCACAATAGTATTTAGTAACGTTTATAATAATAAAAATTAATTTTTGAGTATTATTAATTTATTAACACAAAATAATAAATACTGTAAAGCAATAAACCTTTTAATATATTTTTTATAAAATAAATTCATTATTACTTCTTTATTATTTTAACAATCATAAATAAAATAATATAATTATTAATTATTTTATTTTTTAGTTATATTATTATTATTGAACATTTATTTATACTAAAAACTTAATATCTTAAAATAAAAAACTTCTTCCATTTTATTTTTTAAAAAATTATAATTTTTTTTTGCTTTTTTAAATATCAATAATATTTATAGAATTTCTATAAATAAAGAAAGTTTTATTATTATTTTCATAACAATAAATGCGAGAAACCTGCAAAGATAAGAGATTTTGAGGTAAACGCTTCATAGAAACTTCTTCTTCCAGAAAGTTAATAATATGCTCAGCAATTTTTAAGCTAGAGTCATTCGGTTCGGACAAAGGGCTGTTTATATTGATTAAATAGTTCATATAATAGTCACGAACAAATAAGAACAATTAGCTGCAATATACAATCTATGGATCCCTTTTATTATATTGGGACCGATAAAAGAAGAGGATTAACGTTTAATATATAAAGAATATTTTTGGTTTATATGTAAAACTTTTAATGATTATATGCGAATATTATATTTTATTAACTTTTAAAAATTTTAACGACACAAAAAAACTTATATAGATTAAATTAATAATAATAGTTTATTATATTTAAAAGTAAATATTAATATATATATAATGAAACGGAAACGCGATTTTTTTTAAAAAAAATAAATAAACCAATAAGAGACCGTCCATTATCGTAATGGGTGCTTTCAACAATTGCAATAATTTTTTCGGGATCAACAACAACATGTGGTTTTCCGATTCGATCATCGACTCGAGTAATCAAAAATGGAAAGCGGGAGGGCGGAGCTGGATTTTGAACCTTTAGAAAAGTATAAAATAATAATAAATATAATAATGTCAGTTTTGCATCTCTAAAAGTGTGTTATTATAATAATAAATATAATATTAATTATCATAATAATGACTTTGGACCTTTTAAAAAGTATATAATAATGACCATATTTATAGAAATAATCATAAAACAAGTATGATAATATTTGTAGTAATAACAAAGTTGATAATAAAAAATAAAATAACAATAATAGTAATATTAATAAAACTAATGAACACTACTATTAATAATATTAAAATAATTATGATAATAATAAGCTATAAACATTCTCATAAGTTACATAGATATAAGAAGAGAAAGCAATATTTTATTAGTTTTCTATTTTTTTAATTTATATATAAGTAAAAAGAAATTCAATCGAGGATTATTAAAAATAAAACAATTTTTTTAACTTATAATATATATTATTAAAGAAATGATATATATAAAGTAATAACAATTATAAATAGAATCTAGACAACTATAAAAAGTTCTATAACTTCAGTAATTAATATTAGAGTTTTCTTAAAGATATCAGATACACAACAGTAGAAAAAAAGTAATATGAAGAAATAATATTAATAACCCTTTTACTAAAAAAATTTATAATATACCAAAGCATATATAAAGAAAGATAATAAAGTTTATAATAAATAAAAAATATATTCTAAATTTTTTTAAGTAAATATAGTAATAAGAAAACAAAAAGTTTGATAATATATAAAAATAGAAATAAATTATTTTTAAAATTTAATTTTTTTAATAAATTTACAATATCATGCACTCCTCTATAAGAAGGAATGGAAGTATTAACTTCTATTATCACTTTTTCAGCGAGATCGCAGACTTCCTGCGCTACTCCGCCAGCAGCTCCAAGAATAATTCCTTATAAATAATTTTTGAGTGAAGAATAATTTATTAAACGCTATATAATTACTAAAAAAAAATTATTTTTTAACAACAATTTACGTTTAAAGTTATAAATTATGAAGTATTTTAATTACGATTAAGTACAGTTGTTTAACCCTTGAGTAAGGAAAAAACATAATTTTCATTAGTTAGAAGAAATCAAGTTCTGTTGAATATAATTTAAAAATTTATTTTTTTACTTAAATTTTGAATACTTAAAAAAAGGTTTTGATTTTTCAAATTAAGAAAATAGCAAGAAAAGAAGATCGCCAGAAATTTTTTTTTTAATTTTTTTTTCTTTATAGTTATTAATGGATATCAATGAAAATCTTAAAAAAAAGATAATCAGAATATTTTTATTTTTATTTTTTCTTTACTTATTATAATTTTAGAAGAAATTAGAAAGAAATAAAAGTTATAAAATCTTTTCTTATATTTTAATTTATTCTTTATAACTTTTATGATATCAAATTTAGGAGTAATTAGAAAGGAAGTAAAAGAGCACTTTCTAAATGTCTTTAAAATTGATTTTTTTTTCTTTATAGATTTTATAACTTTAGTTTAAAAAAAAAAGGGAAAAAATTAATTGATTACATAAAAATATATGCACCCCCTTCCTTAGTGATCTCTGTGGCTTCAATAATGGCGATGTCTATATTAGATTTATAATGCCCGTTGATCAGAGCATCCGGAAAGTTGGATAAATGAATATCTTGAAAAGCTATAAGCCCTTTATTGATGGCTTTGTTAAGATTTTTACCGGACTGATAAGGCATATAACTATTTTATTGGAAAAAAAATAATTATTGTCAATAAATTAAATTATTTTATATACTTACGATTCTATCATATTAAGTTCAGCCCAAATATCTGCAGTTTCCGAACCAACGCTCGCTCCAGAAAGTAGTTTAAATCTCAGTTTACCTTGGAGATTATTTTCTTTAACATGGTTTGCTAAAGCGATAGGAACGGCTTTGGGGTAGCCCGAAGGAGTGAATCCGCTCCATCTTGGATTATAGCAAAGAGAAAAATAAATAAATTTAAAGGATTAAGTAGAGCAGAAACAAGTAGTAACTTTATTTTAATTATGAAAATTAGTTTTAGTACATTTTAGTATATAAATAGCTTCTAACTACTGTTTCCTGCTGTAAATTTCTAACTTTACAATTTTCAAAATCAACAATAATTTAGTTTAACTTTTGTACCCGACTGACTGCCCGTTTTTAAAAAACTTAATTGTTTCTTCAGGCTTGACAATAAGTCTTTTAAATGGTTCTCTGCAAATACGAGAGTTTAATATGGCTGACATAAGAATTAGATAGAATTAGATATAATATTATAAATAGTATTAGTTGGACGCGGAAATCTAGAAGTTAACAATAGAGTTATTAGCAGTAAGGGTTGAGAGGTGGTGCCTCTAGAAAAGGAAGTAATATTGATTTAACTTTTAACCTTTATTCGCTAACAAAAAAAATAATATCCTATTAGCACAACTCCCGTTTATTTTCGAACTATGAATGACGCAAAAATAATCATTAACCTCATTTTTAAATTGTTATAGACAGATTGCCTTGATCTATTAAAACTTTAGTTGCTGGTACTTTAGCCTTTTGCCTTATAGAATTTTTACTGCATCACATATTTATGTACTTAATATATAGTACAGATCTGTATACGCGACCAAAGCGAAAATAAAAACAAGAATAAGTAACGCAATTATATGATTATTTTTTTCCTTTTTTTTTTAGCTCTGACATAGTACGATAGGTCTTAATAACTGTTATCCCCGAGAATCTCGTTAGTATATACTCCCCCGGAGGAGTATAATGACTCCTGCGAAGGACTACAAGAAACAGCGGAGAAAATACAATTCGACCTAAAAACAATTATTGGGCGAAAAGTCAGCCCCACTGTTGCAAAGCCGGGCCTTTCCTAACTACCAACTCCCCACCAGTATTACGTTTAACAAACCGCCAAAATGGTCTTAAAAATAAAATTTTTTCAAGTGAATTAATAATTATGAGAGGAATTCTTCTTTTTCAACACTTCTCCTGCGACTTCTTTTAAATATTAAAGCTTATTAAAAAGTTGTCTTTCCATTTATTAAATATTGATTACCGCAAGCAACTTTTTGGGTACAAGGCAGTTAGCAATGGTTGCAACAACTTCATGGTCGAATATGTTAACTAAAGCCTTTTCTACCTAGTAATATTTAAAATTAAAAATTACTTTAAACTTTTCGCTAGCACATTTTCATGCGATATTGATTGCGGATTTATCATAAACTTTTATAGTTGAACACTTTTTAATAAAACCCAGTTTTTGCGTAACTTTTAAAGCCAGTGCAATATAAAAGTCCCATAATAAGGGAGATTTATTTGCTAATGTAATTATACTGCACTGCTTTCCATATTAATTTCATGTTAGGAAGCAAAACTTTCGTTAATGTAATTTTTGTTTTAAAATCAAAATGCCCCTCCACTTGGAGTTTTATAGAATGTCTCTATATTTGATAACCGGCTGCCCAAAATTGTTTTTTTAGTGAATTATTTTACGTATAATTATTTAATTAATTATTTTTTTTTACATTTAATTTTTATTTTTATTATTTTTAATTTATTTATAGTATAAATTAATAATTCATATATTTCTTTCTAAATTCTTGTTAAATATTTCATCTTTAGTATGATTTTATTTTTATTTAATAATTTCTGATATATAATTTTTTAATTTTAATCTATAAATGATTTAATTTATTTTTAATACTATTTTCTTTATAATTTTTTAAATTATTTATTTTACATTTTTTCTTGTTTTATATTTTGTGCAGCCAAGATAATCTGGTCCACGTTCTATTAGAAGAGTACCGAAAAAGCCCAATAGTCTCGTAGAAAGAAGTTCAAAAGTTTTATTTTTTAGTATTCACTAGGTTATTATTACTCATAAAGTATTTCTAATTTTTGGTTTTTCTAAGTCTTAAAAGTTATATAGTTGTTAACTTCGAAGTTATAAGTTAATTAACTTAGTGCTTTCCATTTATTAATATTAAAGTCCATAAAACGAACGTAACTATTTTTTATCAGCCTTAATGGTTCCTGCTTGTAACCGGAAATTCTCATCTTTTTTTCTAGGTGTATGTCAGCTGTGTATTAAAGCTAATATCGATTAATAATAACTTGAATGAGAATAGATAATTCGTATTATTAATTTTTTAAGAGCAACGAAAGGAAAAATAATAAATGCATTGAAAACTATAATTATATTGGGCCAGGGTTATTAGCTCTTAGGGGGCGCTTTTGTCGAGAACAGTAGAATAAAATTCCTAATAGTTCCCACCCGTTCCTTGCGGATATCCCCTCGCATCTAGTCTTCCTTTTTATCTTCTGTCATACTTGCGTGTAATTTTTATATAGTGAAAAAATAGTACATTAGTGCCTTCTGGTATTTCAGACTATCTGATATTTGTAACTCTTAAGTTTAGTTCAGAGACGGCCTCTTCTTTGTAGTCTTCTGATTAGGATCTTGCATAACTTTATGATAAGTTAATTGAGAGACAAGTTCTACTGTCATACCGAGTTCGTCGCCTATGATTAATGCCTCTGTTCTAATAAATTCTTGGCTCTTGATGTCAATATGATTTATTTATTGGATAGCCATTAATTTTGTTCTTTGTGATAGTTTAGGTTTAGGTCTGGGGAATCTTGCGTTTCGTGTGACGGTAATTCTGTTTTAGTTTTCTTTGAAGCGTTTCTAATTTTTTTCGGTGTTTTATATTTTCCATGGGTAATAGCGCTTTACTTCGTTAGGTCTTAACTGGTTTGCAAACTCTGCTCACCCACCCCCCGCCTCTATTTTAATAAACTGTTGTACTGTTATTTCTAACTCACGTTCTTCTCACGTAGTGTTTAGCTATGGAGTCTATTTAATGTAGCGAAAAATAACAAGATTTATTTACTAAGAGATTTAAGAGATTTATTGCGTTGCTTGCCAGATATACAAACGAAAGCACCCTGATTTAACTACCCACATTGCAGGTACTTTGTAAAAGGTATTTATACCATAAATTAAGGTGCATGCTAAAGTTCATTAAGAACAAGAGGAATTTTCGAAAAAAAATTGCTAATATACAAACCTTTAATTCTCTCAAGTATAATTAAATGAATTTTGCTAAAAATAACGTATAACAAAAGCTCAAATAAATGGAATACTAATAAACATGAAATATAATAAAGTTATTTAACTTACTTAGGTTTACAATCGTATTAACTTAATAAAATTTTCAAATCGAGTTAAGAATGAATCAATCTAAATCTCTGTAAATACAAGATATCATAGTCTGACATTTAAAGTGAGCTGAATTCCAGTCAACTTTGTTGGCGATATCATCTTCTCCCTACTTTAATCAAGTACTACGGAAATAGAAACTCTATTATCTAATAATTAAGATCCTATAAATAATTACAGTTAATTTAATCACCCCTGGTTCACCTCCTTGTCGTTAATCTGATGACTCTCTTTCATAAGTAAACTTGGTTACTAACCAAATAAACCTTATAACCAATAAAGTAAATAAAACCAAAGAACTCTCATGCATAGAAGCTTATATAGATTAATTACTTATAAAGTTAACCTAAATCTCGTTAAATCTGACCGGATAACCCAAGAACAAAGCCACCCTTACGGAAAAAGTCTTAGATGAAATCAAATATAATTAATTTAAATAAACATTTGTTAAACTAAACCGATTAATAAACTGAAAAAAAAAATACCCAAATAACTATGCAAAATGTTAGCAGACAAAAACAAAACCTTACTTAAAAAAAAAAACAGTAACCTTATCATTAATCAAAATAAGCTAAAAATTTTGAAAAAGATAATCTAAATTTCACACAACCAACTGGTGTTTAGCAGCTTAAGTCGTTAGCCATAGTTAATTTTTTAAGGTCTATTGTAGGGTTATTATTTGAAATTTAAGTTTGTCGTGTTTAAGGTGTACTCGCAAGTTCTTTTTCAAGCAGAGAACGAGTCCTTAAGCGTTATTAAAAATATTTATAAAATCTTCATCTTTTCCAGTTGTATAGTTCAAATGTCTTCTCGATAAAGTTGACGTTTTCGCTCTCCGTGTCTATCATAATTTAAACATAATTTTGATGGGATATCTGAGTCCAGAACTTAATTTCAATACTAAAACTTGCACTAATTTTGAGTAATGCCGTAGAGAAGTTTTCCGTCACTGACGTTTTGACTGTAAACGCTTTAAAAACTTTTCTCAGTTTCGAATATTTCAAAGTTACTTTAGTGATACACTAATGCCTGCTTTCTTTGATTATAACGTCCAACCTTTTAGCGAGATGCGAGTCGTATTTTCCTGGGCTACTTAGGATTCCGCAATTTCATAAATCCGGTTCGGAATATGTTTCTTTAAGTGTGAAACTTCAATAAATTAGTAGAATTTTTTCGAATTTGTTATTATGGTTCCTCCTTATTAACCTAGTTTTAGTATAAACTTTCTGGACGTTTGTGCCCAAGTTCTCGTATTGCTCTTATTGTAGGATGTCCCAGGGAAATGGAATGAAGTAGCTACTGACAATTGTTACTAATTACTGTTGATAGTTATGCGATATTGAAAAAATTATCAATTTTTTTTGCTCCTCGTTTGATTTAAATATAGCCATACTGTTTCCCTCATTGCCACCATCTTGCAACTTATGTAATAGTATTGTACTTCTATTGTTTGCCTTGATTCTTCACGCTTTTACGTTGTTTTCTGACCTTGTAGACATCTTTTTCGTGGTTTTGTGGTGAGCTTATGAGCAATAGAGGGTAGGCTAATTTGTTTAAAAACGCATTCGTCGCTAGTGTGTTTAATGTTAATTTTTATTCTTTTGAAAAGTTGTCGGTGCTGTGTTTAAATGGAATCGTATATTCAAAGCATACTGTATTCCTTGATATTTCTTAAGTGGTAAGCTCTTGAGACTGTTCGTGAGTTTTGGGTTGTGGACCGGATCCAAGAAGCTTATAGCAATTTTCATTATTAATCGGAAATTGGGTTATTATCGTAGAAAAGTCTCTTTATTAAATAATTATCTAACATTTCTCCAATTAATCAACAAAAATTTAGTTAACAAAAAAACAGAAATAAAAAAATTATTTTTGTAACCACATGAAGAAAACTTGATCCCTATTATTCTTTCAGTGCAAACTAAGTAAAGAAAATTTTTTAAACTAAATCTGGTATACTATTTATTTTTGTGTTATGAACTGTGTTTTAGGTGTTTTCGTATCTGCGTTATTGTGTTAGATTACTAACTGGAAGTCATATACCTGTAGAGAAACGCACGTTGATTTGTTAACAATGTTATTTAAATACAGGTTCAAACCAATAATCCTATAAGTTATTTTTAAAGAAGCTAAGCTATTGCTAAATACCTTTTGTTGTGCTTGTATATAGAGTATTTCTCAAGTTTCTCTAGGAATAAAAAAAAAGTCACTAGCCTAGTTTTACAGTACGTGGAAGATGAAGTTAAATGCTTCTTCAATATTATACAGCTAAAGTGTCATCTATATAATCTTATAACATACTACTTGATTGACACCGAATTTTTGGGTTTTTTTTTAATTTAAAATTTTCTTATTGTATTTAATATAATATTTTTTGTTACACTTTTTACTTTTTAAGGGCAGGAACAGTTTTCTTTTAATTTTATAATAAAATTAATTCTTATATGATCGGTTTAGAACTTCAAGGTCATCTCTTGCAGGTTATGAGACGATTGCAGAGTTAAATTCAAAGTAAATCAAGTACCGTGAATTGAAGGTTTTACTAAAAGACCTAAAAAAACGATACAGTTTGATGTGCTTTTTGCTTATAGGGTTCCATTAGGAAGAAAGTTTAGTGAAGGAAGCAAGAGTACAAAAACAAACAGATAAAAAAGAGTTTAAATTGTTACCTCATCACCACAATATTGCAAATAGTTAATGATGACAGTTAAATTATTATTTTATTTGTTTAAGGCGAGTGCCTAAAACTTGGTTCAGAAATTTTAAATAGTCATAATTATCTTTGCGACTTATTCATCTATGGCGGAGAAAGAAAAAAAACATTATATTTTTAAATAAAGTAAAGAAAGATCTATTTTTTTTGGTTTGCTTAATATTATAATGGATGACGAAAATAAGCTCTCACATAGGTGTCAAAAAAATTCACGAGAGATTTCAAACTTTATTGTCACATGCAATAAAACTTTAATTCACATCTACCAACTCGAAACAAGAAACCCCCCAGGTGTGTTTTTAAAGAGCATAAAGTGCCGAGGAAAATGCATTTGCCTATTTTATTTTGGTGAATACGGAAGAGAGTAGAAATTATATTTCAAATAGCTAAAAAAGCCTTACGGATAGACTGGTTTAAACTTAGCCAACATCATCGATAATCCTTAATTTTTCTGATAAACAGCATAACTTCTTCCTTCCTTAAAGTCTTTCCCACTAGCTTGAAACTAATTTAATTAGAAGTATTACTTAAGCATGTTATGTTAACCCCTTATAGGTTACTGGTTACTATGTTTGCCACTTGTCATCTAGGTTCAATTCGCGAGAGTAGGTCTAAGGAAATTAACCCTAAATGACAGACTCAATCTCTGAAACGATCTCTGGTAAGTTTGAGTACCACGATCTAATGGATTAGACAGCAACCCACAAAACATAAAAAAATAGTAAATTTAGTTATTAGTGAACGTAAAACAAATCTATTTTAAGCCCCAGAGTTTTACTCGTTGAAGGATTATATCATTAGAAGGTCATTAGTAATTTATAGCTAACTTAAAATCGGTTAGAAATAAATAGTGTTCACTTCTCATTTGCTGTACTAGATCTAATGTTAAACTATGAAATGATAATATTTCGAATAGTGTTACAACCTAGTTAATACTATATATCAGACGTGCTACCAGCTAACAGGGTTTAAGATAAACGAGTTTAGAAACCCCTAGAAGCATGCACACTATAGTAATGATCTTATTTTAGTTGAAATTACGAAGTTAAAACTTTGGATATATATTTCCTATTTTTATGGGCCTTTATAACTTTCAAAATGTTATAATGCTATAGTGGGCTTATGAAGTAGTACTTTTTAGCTGACTGAAAGTTAACTAAAGCTAAATGAAAAGCGCTCTCTTCCTATATTCCCTTTTACTCCCTATAGTAATGGGTAAGTAATATTATAATAATGCTATTATCTAGTATAAAAATATATAAGGCACGGCTCCCTTACCTACTAGTAGTGGACAGCAAACTTTTTTAAAACCTACCATGCTGATAGTTCTGAGGCAGTACTTTATGGTAAAAGATACTAAAATTTAGCCAATACGATACATGGAAGGGCGACAGACCCAACACACTTTTTTGTGGACCAGTAAAATAGCAACTAAGGAAAGCAAATGTAGTAAGAAAATGTAGTTCACTGTTAGCAGACTTTTAAATAATATTTTGAAAATTTTTAAAATATATAACTTTTGCCTCTTCGATCAAAGCGGGGACTGAACTGGGTCTTCATCTTTTCTCATATCTTATCTTATCTTATCTTATGTTATTTGTCTTATTGGTGAGAGGACTCTTGGCTCGGGTTAAGGTTAAGTAAAGTCCTCTCTCTTTGTAAATAGTTGCGAACGAAAGCAAAGGTGAGATTCTAGTAACAAGACATTTTTTACAATTTTGAAAATATCTCAAAAAGACGTACATAAAGAGTGCTGCTAAAACAACACTATTCTCCGCTTTATCTCGGCAGTCAAGGCCTAGCTGGAAACTGCGACTCTTTGTATTAGTGTTCTTCATATAGTATGAAACAGACACAAAAAAGAAAACTCTAAATATTTAGAATTAATAAATAAATTAAGCTCCCTAGATGTATCTGTATATGGAATACGGGTACCCTTATGCTAAGGTAACTTGGCTGCATAAAAGAGCGCTTTCCTCCTATATACTTATGCATGTTAAGTATAGTACTATGTAATGGCACTGAATGGAAGGTGTGGTTTGCTAGTATAACCTATATCGATAATTACATAGAAGCAATAGAAACGAAGTTTCGCTACTTATTTCCTTCTACTATTATTTCAACAAAATTTTGTCATGGCCTAAGTAATTGAGGATGGAGCCCTTTTATCTATTAAATGCTTTTTAAATATGATAAGAATTTATCACATTATTTAAGAAAACAAAAGTAATATGTCATTCACTGCTGTTTGGAGAGGTTGCGGTTAAGCCAATTGCGTTATTAAAATTAACATAAACACTTTAAAACCATATTAAACACAGCTAATGACAGTTTTGCGGTTCAAGGGAGGGGCATTTAGTAACTTTACTCAAAACTGCGTGAAGTTCAAGATCAGATACGATCTCTAAAAAGGTTCGCATTGTCTTGAAAAAGAGACTTTATCAAAAATAATATAACTGAAATGTAAAGTTTTTGTAATAATATGATTGCAAAAAAATGTAGTTCTAAATTGTAAAAAAATTTAAAAGAATAATTACTATAATTTATTAAAGAAGAGACAGGGAAATTTAGTGTTTCTATGCAATATTCTTAACTTTTTATAATAATAAAGAGATGTTTTACAAATGTAAAGTCTGCATTAAGTATAAAAGCTACATAATCAAGATAACGTTAGACAATTAACAAACTTTCTTGGTAAAGTAGTCCAAACTTTTTTAATATAAGTAACTTATTATTATAAAATAAATCTCAATAACTGTTAATTTTAGTAGTTAAATTTTATATGCTTACACCAGTACTTAACTGCAATTACTTGTGTTAAATATAATAGTATAAATTGATTAAAGGAACAACATATTAAGATTGTATAACAGTACGCGTGCATGAGGTAAACACAGAAGAAGCAATTTCTTACTGGCTTTTGCCTTCAAATATTAAAATATAAAAATATTTTTAGTTTTTGTTCGGTCGTTACTATTATTAAAGAAAGCAGTTGAAATAAATTAAACTTTATAGCAAAATTATTATTAACATAAACAATGTCATAAAAAAATTCACAAATATTTTCGGAAAACTATTAGAAATTAAATTATATTAATATATTTTTTAACATGAATAATGAGTCCTCTTATTCTGCTTTTAGTAATGAACATATTGGACTTTCCACTTCAAAATCTCTAAAAAAGTCTGAAATAATTTTTATTTGTATATTGTAATTATGAAATTTTGTTCCTTTTATCCTGCTTTTTTTAGTAGGGAACGACCTCAACATGCTACTTCAAAGTCATCAAAAAGGTTTGAATTTTTTACAATTTTAAAAATTTAAATTTAGATTTCAATTTACTGAACAGCTTCCATAAAGGGCATCGAGATTTAATTATTAAAGAACTTCAAAGATTAAAAGTAATTTTTTCTAGCACTTTTGTTACTTCCTCGCAATACTCTAAATTTTTTCTTGCAAAAAGTTGTTTTAGCGTAATTAGTATTGTTTGATTATAATATTTTTATTAGTGTACATTTTTGCTAAAATTTATTTTTAAATAATTTTTTTCTAAATATAATTTAGTCATCTTTTTCTTCCGGACTTCCTCAAGATAAATATATAACGCTTAATATAATTGGTTTTGGGTTAATTTTAAATTATTATTTAAGTTTCATTATTATATTTTATATTCTTGTTTATTTGAATTTTATGGAAAAGTTAGCTTTAATGTTTCAAAGTTATTATAGTACAGGTAACTCTTATGATTTAGAAATTTAATAAGTATTTTTTTAATATACTTTGAAATTCTTGTTTGGCGAATGGTAGTACTTGCGCTTGAGTTTTTAATTAGTTGTAATATTTTAGTAAATTTTTATTTTATTATTTAAAATTTTTTTTTTAATTTTTAATTTATTTGGTTTTATATTTCTTTGTTTTTACTTTTAATTAAATTGTTTGAACTTATGTGATTATATTTTTTTTAATTTTTTAATTTATTTAAGCTCTTAATTATACTATTTTTACTTGTATTTTATTTTTTATGAGCTTTTGTGAGATTGTATATATTAATTTTTTTTTTAAAATTTACAAATTTTATATGATTCATTTGTTATGAAATTTTGTGAGAAGTAGATTTATAATTTTTAATTATCTTAAATTTTTTTTGTTTATAATATATTTTTTATGAACTTTTGTGAAGAGTAGATTTTTTTTGAATACTTTAATTAAACTTTATGATATTGAATTTATGTGACGTGATTGTTATTTTTCATTAAACTTAATTAGTTTTGAACTTTTTTGATTTAAATTTTTTTTAATTTTTAAATTATTTAACAAATTAAGTTGTTATGGAGTTTTATGAGGTGATTTTTTTTTAAATTTTTAAATTTTTTTATAATAGTAATAAATTGTTATATTAACTTTTGCAAGGTGAACTTTTTTAATTAACAATTTTAATATAAAATTACTTTATATAAATTTTTGTCAGAAGAAGTTTTTTAATTTTAAGTTGATAAAGTTAATGAAATTGTAGAGTTTAGACTTTTCTAAGCATATCGTTCCTTTTTTTAAGTGTAATAATTATTTATATTAATTTTTTATAAGAAATTTATAAAATATTTGTTCAGAATAATAAAAAAGTTTTTAATTTCTTTTTAAGAATTTTAAGGTTTTTTTAGAAATTAATTTATTTTTTTAAATTAAAATCTAAATAGCGTTAATCTACGGATTATATTCTAATTATTTTTCTGCTTTCGGAAATTTTACTTTTATATTTATAAGAATATTTTTAATCTTGAATTTGTATATAAACAGTGAATTAAAGATTTAAATTTCTTTCGATTAATTTAAAATCTTATTATTTTAAGCTTTTATTGCTATTAAAAACTTTTTAAAAGTAAATTTATTATCAAAATAATAACAGTTGGTTTTAATTTTTTAAATTGTTGTTTATATACTTTTTTTATTATATTAAGAATTATAATAAACTGATTTTGTAAAGTAAAAAAAGAAGTAAATAAAATTATATGAAAATTTGGAAAATATAAAAATAATAAAAAAAATATTTAATAATAAGGTATTATCAAAATATATTATTAGCAAGCATAATTTATATAGAATTTAAACAAAAATAGTATTGAAAAAATATTTAAAGTTTTATAACAATATAATACTATTATTATAATTTTGTATAGAATAATAGAAAAAATTATATATAATGTTATATTTATTAATAATAATAATATAAACTCGAGCTCTTTTAAAAAATAATAATTTGTAAAAATAATTATATTTATAAATTATATATTTTACTATTATTATTTTGTACTAAATTTTTTTAATAGTAATATAATAAAAATAGTAATAATTATAGTAAAAAATTATTTATATTAATTTATACTGAATTTAAAAAAAATAATACAATAATGGAAAATTAAATATTTTAAAAATAATAAAGAAATGTAAAAAGTATAATAATAATGAAACTCTGACTATGTTAAAAATGTTATCAATACTATGCTAGTAATAAAAATCATTATAATTATGTATTATTATACAGCTTTATACTGAATTATTTATAAATAATATATAAGTGAAATAATCATATTTAATAGTTAATAATTATAATTATATATTAGAAATTTATTATTTTACTTTGAACTGAATTATTTAATAATAATAATAAAAAAATAAAAATGACTTTTTTTTAAGAATCATAAAATACTTTATAAGAATAATAAATATATTTATATTAGTTTTTACTGAATTGTTTATTAATAATTATTTTAAAAAATTTTATGTTTTTAATAATTTATAATTAAAATAGTATTTTAATGAAATACATATTAAAGTTTGTACTGAATTTAATATAATAATTATTTTATATTTGATAAAAATTATATCAATGTTTTAGTTTAAACTGAATAATTTAATAATAATAATATGACAGTTATTGAAATATATGACAATTATCATATTTCTAAATTTTATAATAAATATTAACATAATAATAAAATAATAATTGTTATTTAATAGTATAAATTATTAATGTTAGTTTATATTATAATATTAATAATAATAATTATAGAAAAGTTAATATGATAATAATATAATATATTATTATTATATTAGTTCAAATTTTTTAATTAATGTTAATATAATAATTATTATTATTTAATAGTATAAATTCTATATATTAGTTTATTCTAGATTTATAATATTAATAATATAATAGTTAATAATATGAAATAATTTTTAAACAGCAATAATAATTTAGTAATAAAAGTATTATCTTATTAGTTTTAAATATTATAATAAATATAAATATAATAACTAATAATTATTATTATATAATAGTATAAATTATATATATTAATTTATTTTATAATTTTAATAATAATTTTATTATAGTAATAAATAATAAATCAAAATAATTTTTTTTTATTTTTTAATATACTATTAAAAAAAATTTATAATTATTATATTCTACATTTTATAATAATTATATTTTATATATTGTTTGTATAATTAATTTATATATTTACTTCCTACTAAAACTATAATGATAATAGAATAGTGAATAACTGTAATAATATAAAATAAAATTTTTAAATATGTAATAATGATGGTTTTAAAAAAATTATTTTAATTATTGTTAGATTAAATTTTTATAATAAATATTTATTATTTTTATTCTATATTTTTAACATTTTTTATTTAAAATTTTACTTAATAATTTCACTATAAATTAATATTCTTTAAGTTTTATTATTTTTATTAATATAAATATTAATATTATAACTAATTCTAGAACTTTTAAAAAATTTATTATTTTATAATTTTTACAACTTATATATAAATTTTACTTTTGCGATAAAATTCTATTATAATTATTCATATTTTTATGAATATTATTATATATTTTTAGAGCACAAGCAAAAGTTTATTCGGTAAAAGAAAAGGAAACTGGAAAAATATATGCTTTAAAGAAAACGCACTTAAAAGTTAATAATTATAAAGGGATTATACAAGAGGCGGAGTTGCTTTTTAAGTTGAAGTAAAACATCTCATTATTATCCATAAACTTTTTATTACTTTCTTATTTATTATTATTATTGATACTAATTTTTTTTTTTGGTTTTACTTTTTATTATCACATATAAACTTCTTTTATTATTATTATAATTATTGTAAATATTTTTTTCTGCTGTCAATAATATAAATATATATTAAGCTTTTTACTTTTACTCATTACGTAAAACTTTAATTTATTTACTATTATTAACGTAAATAATTTTTTTGTTGTTATTAATACTATTTATTATTAAATATTGGCGTCATTATTTATTTTTATTTTGAATATTTTTATTATTATAGATAATTTGTATGATTATCATTCATTTATTATTATTATAATATTTTCTTTTATTATATATGAATAATAATTAAGCTTTTTATCTATTATTATATAAAAATCATTAAATTACTATTAACAAATTTTTATATAAAAATTTTGTAATTTCTTATATAAAATATAAAAAATGATATGATCGAAATTTTTACTTTTTATTATATTTTTATTAAAAATCTTTTATATTATTTATCAATATTTATAATTATCAAAAGATAAGAAAAGTTTGTTATGTATATTTTTTTTTATAAATTTATTGTTATTTATGAACATTTAAATTTATCAAAATTGTGAAAGTTATTATATATATTTTATTATAACTTTCTTTATTATTATATTATAGTAGATACTTTTAATTTATAATAAATAAAATTTTTCGTTTTTATTTTTGGAAAGTTATTTAATATAATAATTATTATATAAAAAATAACTATAATTATTAATAAATAAGAAAAGATTATTATATATGTTTATAAATGTTTATTTTATATAATATTTATTATTATTATTTATTTTATATTAATATTTAAATAGTCACGAAAACTGTATTAAAGTAGAAGCCGTTTATTATACAAGCGAAGCTTTTTGGGTAAAACATATTTTTTTTAATTATAGTAGAATTTAAAAGTTTATTTTTACATATGTTAATTATTTTTTTATATAAAATAAAACTGTATTTAATTTTATATTACTTTAATATAAATAACGAAAATAATAACAATATTACTACTACTCATAATAGTAATGCTAATGTTAACAAAATAATTAAAATAAGTTATACTAATTTTAATAATAATTATAATTATAATAATAATAACAATAATAATAATAATAATTTTGTAATAGTTATACATGGAGTTTGCTGATTTGGGATCTCTTGTTCATCTTATTGAACATTCTCCTCTCGACGAAGCAGTGCTTTCTTCTCTCGTCCTTCAGCTTCTTCACGGGCTCGACTATATTCAGTTAATAACAATATAATTAATAATAAGTAATAATAATACTAAGAAATAAATAATAATAGTAGAAATAATATAAATGACATATACAGTTTATAATTTTATAATAATCTTTATACATATTATATTTTTGTTTAGAATACTATTAACTGTTTCCTTATTATTATAATTTTTTTGGTTATAGTATATCTCCTTTTTATAGTTTATAATATATTCATTTACTTTCTATTATTTTTTGTTAGTTCCAAATTTTTTTATCGAAAATTTTTGTTTCTATTAAAAAATATTTGAATTTTCAAAATAATAATATTATTATGAACGTTTCGTATTATTATTACTCATTTTTTTTAATTTTTTTTGGTTCCTATTTTTTTTCTTGTGATATTATTATTGTAAAAATGATTTTTATAAGTTTTTTTTATTACTACTTTATATATATATATTGAAAATTTTATTTTGGGTCAATTTATAATTTGGTTCAATTATTTTCTATAGCAAATAACTTTTTAATGCTTTATTACTATTTGAAGATCCTATATGAACTCTTTTTATTGCAATCTAATCTTTACATTGCATCTGTTTTACTATTTCAGTGCAGTTATAAATAAGTTGGGTATTTTTTATTAAAAAATTATTTTCAATATTATTTTTATTTTATTCATATTTTGTATCTAGTGGTCATATTGTAACAAGTTTACTGTTTGGGTACAATTTTATTAATATATTGCTGTATTATTGTTATGGAGAAAAAATTTTACTTTACAATTTAATATTATTATTATTTATTTATTGTATACTTTGAGCTCTTTTTAATGCTAACTTTTATAATTATATTACAATTGATTTACTATGTTGTTGCAATTTATTTATAATTTGGTATATCTTAAAATAAATATTTTGCATAATAAATAATTTTTCTTTTTTTTAGATATTTTTTATATTGTATCTATTATCAATGATTTTGCTACAACGTTACAGTTTTGCTATAATTTATTAATATTGTGGTGTATTTATTTGTTAAAAAATATTTTATTTTTATCAGCTTCTTTTAAAATTTACTTAATGTAATCAAATTCGCTTCTATTTAACTAGTTTAATACACTTTATCGCTTTAGAAACCTTTTTTATTATCTGTTTATTTATGCTTTTATGTTTTTACTTAATACAGTTATTTTGCGAGTGCTTTACTGTTTTGATACAATTTATTGATAAATTGGTGTATTTTTAATCGTTTCGAAAAACTAATTTGCTTAAAATTTTATTTATTTATTTAACTTTTGGCGTTCAATTTAGTTTTTTTGAAAAACAGTTTATAAATTTGTTATTTTTTTTATTTTTAATATATTTTGCTTTATAAAAATTTATATGAGTTTACGGTATACTTTTCCCCATTCATATTTCTACCTAATACAATTATTTTGATGCAGAATATTGTCAATTTAGCGTATTTTAATTGTATTTATAAATTTAATTTTTTTTCTAAATAATATTTATTATTTTCAAAATTTTTTTATTTCCCTTTATAATGTTTAGGCGACTGATTTACTATTCTGGTAAAATCATTAATAATTTAATATAATATATTACTTATTCAAAATATATATATTATTTATTGTAGACTTATATTAACTCCTTTTATGTTTTTAAATAATTAATTTGCCATTGATTTACTATCTTGTTGCAATTTAATAATTGTTTGGTGTATTTTACTGTCATCCAAAAAAATATAGTTATTTTAAAAATATTTACTTATAGTTTTTATATTTTTATTTTACACAATTATTTGTTACTGGTTTACTATTTTGGCAAGATTTATTATATTATAAAAAGTATTTAGTTTACATCACATATATTTGACCCGATTTATTCTTTTTTATAATACCAATAATAAATATTTAATATTACATAATTTATTTAAAATCTAACCCAATAAAATTAATTTGCGACTAATTTTCTGTTTTGACACGATTTATTCTTTTTTTTACTATACAAGAAAATATATTCAATATTACATTTTTTATTTATTTATATATTTATGCTTTTTATTTCTACCAATACAATTAGCTTGCGACTAATTCACTATTTTCACACGAAATTCTTATTCTTTTTTATAATATTGAAAGATATTGTTTACATTCTTTAAATTTTTTGTTACTAAATATAATAATTTTGCTGTTCTTTTACTATTTTGATACGATATATTATTCTTTTATTATATTATTAAAAAATATGTCATATTTAGTTTTCTTTTTCCTATGGATGATATAAATTGTTATATATTTTTTACTTTATTGTACTTTTCATAGTTCTTTAGGCGTTACGCATCGGGATTTGAAGGTTATTTAACTTTTTATAATATATTTATATTTTATTTTACTATCTTTTAAGAAATTATTTCAATATATAATTACAATAATAATATTCTTTTTATAATTATTTTGAATATAATATTAATAACAACTCTATTTATAATTATATATTTATAATAATTATTATTACATTTTTACTTAATAACTTACACATTTATACTAAAGTTTGGATTTACTTTATATTAGAAATAATATTTTATTAAAACTTTTATTTGTAAAATTTTTTTAAACTGTTAATAATAATATTATATTTTTAACGTTTTTTTTTTGAAAAAGTTTTATTTTCATAATATTTTTAAATATTATATAGTTATCTTTATTGTTATTTATAATATTTTTAATTTCCTTATACTTTATTTACATTGTTAATATTTCTGTAATACTATTTTTACATTACTAATAAAAAGGTATCATATAGTTTACTTATATTTTAATTAAGTTTTTGTATATTTCTAAAAAATTTTTTTATTGTATATTATAAATATTATTAGTCTTTTACAATTTTTATTATTTTTATATTTGTAATGATGACTTTTTTTATAAATACTAAAAATCAATACTTTTATATATTTCCTAGAAATTGTTCTATATATTTTTTTATATACATATAATTAATATTATTAAGACTTTTACATTATATGAAACATATTTTTATTATTAAATCTTTTTAAGTAATTTTTATAACAATTTTTAAAAACCTCTTAAGTGTAATAATATAATTTAATTTTGAATGAATAATAATATCATTACAATACTAAAAATTATAAGTTTTCTATGTTAATAAATTATTAAGTATGCTTGCTATTGGTTATAAAAGTTATTAATGAAACTTTTACTACAATTAAAAATGTATATTTTTATATAGTTTTTATTTTTCTTACGTATTATTATATATTTATTTAGAATATATAAACTTTTTTATAAAACTTTATTACTATAAGTATTATTAATAGTTTACGTCATACAAATTACAAAGACGTTGTGTATTAATATTAAGTTTGTTCCTGAAGCGAAGTCTCTAATAAGCTTCGCGGTTTTTCTCACGTGTTAACTATAAACTTTTTGATTCGCCTTTTTTCACTTTTATAAGATTTTTGTTTTTTAATTTTTTTAATAATAATTTTACTTTCATTTTTTTTTACTTTTATGAATAAAAATTTTACTTTAATCTATTATTGTTTTTAAAAAATTAATAAAATTTTTTTAGGCTTCAAATATATTATTAACTTCTCTTGGCGTTGTTAAACTTGGTGAGTTTAATATTTTTTAATATATAAAAAATATACTCGGTTATAAAATAATATAATAATAGTAATTTCTTATTTTTTTTAATACAAAAAAAAAGTTTATAAACCTTTTATAGTTTTTAATAGTTACAAATTTTTTAAAACTATGAAAGTTTTTTTTAAGAAATAATAAGAACTGTCATAAAAAGGATCAACTGCTATTTGTAGACTTTTTTTTTAAACCAATAAAAATTAAATTTAATAATAATAAAAAAAGAAGTAAACTTTTTTTGAATAATAAAATTTACATAAAACGGAAAACTTAAAAAAAAAAACCAGAAAAATATTAAATGTGATTAAAAAAAATTTCTATTATAAAGTAAAAAACGTTTTATAAAAATTTATATTAAATTATATTTAAAAACTTTTTTATATAAAAATGTATAAAAAAGAAAAACAAGGGAAACTTTTTTAATAAATAAACTTTTTATATACAAAAAGATATAATAAAAAAACTATAAACATTTTTTATTTTTTTAATTATGAGATATAAATTTTTTTTATTCAAAAAAATTTATATTAAACGAAAAACTTATATACAAAAAAGATATTTATAAAATACTGTTAAAAAAATTTATTTATAGAATAAAAAAAACTTTTTTGAATAATTAAATTTTTATATAATACGGAAGACTTTTATAAAGACAAAAATATTTAAAAAATGATAAAAATTTATTTTTTAAAAAAAATAAGAAATAAACTTTTTATATTTAAAAAATAAACTGAAAAATATTAACAAAAAATATTAAATTTTTATAGAAAAATTTTACCCAAAACTCTAATAAAAATAAAATTCTTGATTGTTTTATGACTTTATTTTTATTTTTATTAGGTTTCATTCACTTAGTTTTAATCGTTTACGCTCTTTAGAGTTTAAAATTTTGTAATTTTTGTTTTCTTTATATTTTATTATAATATTCAAGTTACTATCTTTTTTTTATTTTTTTAAATAATTTTTATGAATTTTCTAATTTTTTTAATTTTTATAAAAAAAGTAAATTCTTTATATTTCTTATATTATTTTATTATTTTATTACTGTATTATCTTTCAAAAAATATTACCAACCGAAATCAAGGAAAAGTAATGATTGTATAAAAAAATTTTATAAGAAATTTTCATATAAAAATAAAAAATAAATTTAGTATTATTATTTATATTTTATTTGTAAATATATGGAATATGAGTTTTCTTTATATTTATTATTAAATAAAAAAAAATTTGAAAAAAAATTATTATTAATTGTTATTGAATAATAAGTATAAAAAACATCTGCTAAATTTAGTATTATAATATATTATATTTATTTAATAATATACGAAATATAGCTTTATTATTAATATTGTTTTTAAGTTTATTTTTGGTGAGTTTTGTTTTTTCCTTATTAATTATTAATTCAATTCAAAATTTCTTTAAAAAAAATTACTGATTATTATTCAATATAAAATAAATTTATTATTATATTTTTATTTTTTATATAATTTACTAAATATATTTTATTATTATAATTATTTTCATTATTAATATTTTATGTTTCAAGTTTGCCTTTTGTCTGTTTTATTTTTTTTATTTATTATTCAATAAAAAATTTTATAATAATAAATTTATTATTATATACTTATATTTTATAGTATACGAAATATACTTTTATTATTATTATAATTTTCATTTTTAATATTTTACTTTATATATATGTAAACCTTCTCCAAAGAAATAAAAATTTTACTATTTATATTTTTATTATAAAAGATAAATTTATTATTATTATCGTAGAATTTTTATTAAAGTTTTATAGTTATTTATTATTTTTTGTTAGAAGTACTCATTTTATATTAAAAAGAAAATGAAAGATATATTTTTATATATTTATTATATAATATTTTTTTACGGAATTACCTAACTTCTGTTAGTTTTATTATATAAACTTTTATAATAATGAAAAAGATAAGTTATTATTTATTTTTATTAAATTTATTACTTTTAATAGTTTTACTTTTTATTATATAAAAAAATTTTATATTATAAAAAAAAAATACAAATTTATTATATTTACTGTTATGTTGTTTTTTATATTTTATTAATGAATTGTTCAATATTTTTCATTTGTATACATAAACGTTAATGTAAATATAAAAATTATGAAATAATAAATTTATTACAATTTTTTTAGCGTTTTACAACTATTATTTTTATATTTATAATTATAAACTTTAACTTTTATTCTATTTTCTATTTTGATTATAAAGAAATTTTCTAATATAAAAACAAAATATGTATCGTTATTATAATTTTTGTTACATCTATATAAAATTTTTATTATTTAATGTAATATCATGAAGTTTTACTTTTTTTTGCTTTTTCTTTTATATATAAAAAATAAATGTTTTAGAAAAAATTATAATATTTGTTTCATTTTATTATATCTTTATTATAAACTTTGGTAGTTATATTAATATAAGAAAAAACTTTTACTATTAAGAATTATTATTTACTTTTTTTTACAAGTATTATAATTTTTATTCTTTTAATTAAATAATGAATTTTAACGTTTATTACAGTTTTACTTTTATTTATATAAAAAATTTCTTATAATAAATTTTTATAAAATTATTTTTGTTATATAGTTTTATTCTTTATATGTAAATAAAAAAAAATTATATTATAAATATTATTAAGTATTTATTATTTTCTGTGTAATGTATTTCATTATAAACTTATGTTTTTCTTATTTTCATTTTTTATTATACATAAAACTTTAATATTGAAAAAACTAAATAAATTTAATTTTTTTTAGTTAATAATTTTTATTTTCTACATTTTTTTGTGCAGTTTAAATTTAATTTTTATTTTATTTAAAAAAATATAAAAATATATAAAATTATTATTATAATTGTTAATTATATATAAATTATTTTATTATAAACTTTAATTTCTGTAATTTTTGTTAAATTTATTTTATATTATACAAAAACTTTAACATCTAAATAATTCTTTAAAAGTAAATTTTATATTATAATTATTTTTTTTAAAAGTTTTCATGATTTTTATTTTTTTTTAAAAATTAAAATTTGGTACTATAAATCATTATTTTTTCCGAGTATTTAAAATTATTATTTATTTTATTTTATTATAAACTTTATTCATTTTTATTCTTATTTTTTATTATTTTTATTATACAAAACTTTAATATTTTAAAAAAAAAACTTTAAAAGTAAATTTAATATTTTAATTATTAATATTTTAAATTTTTAATTTTTTTGTATAAAAATTTAAATGTATTAAAATATTATTTTTTTGATTATTTATAATTAATAATTAAAAATTTTTTTGAATTTCATTTTTGTTATTGTAATTTTTAATATACAAAAACTTTAATATTAATAAAAACTGAAAAAAAAATATTATAATAATTTTTTAATTTATATTATTAAAAATTTATAATCATAAACTTAAAACTTTTGTTAGTTTTATTTTTTATATAAAAAAGAAAACTTTCGCTATTATGAGACAAATTTGCTTTATTATTTTTTCTAGTTTTTAATTATTGTTTTATTTTTCTATAAAAAAACTTATAGGATAAAAAATTTTATAAATTTATTATCATTAGTAAAGACATCAACTTTTTATTATTTTTATTTTTCATCAAATAAAAAACTTACGCATTATAAGAAAAATAAAAGGTTGATATTATTCTAATAAAAACTTTAACTTTTATTAGTTTTGTGTTAAACAATTATAATATATTGTTTACTTGGATATTTTTCTATTATAAACTCTAACTTGTGTAGTATTTATTTTTTATTTCTATGAAAAAATTTTAAATACTATTTATTTTCTTAAGTTTTCATTACTTTATAATTTTTATATTTTATTATAAACTTTAACTATTAATAGTTTTATATTTTTATGTAAACTTTTAATTCAAAAAAAATTAAAATACATTTTATAAATTTTTTTAATTATTTTATATTATAAACTTTATTTTTTTAATGCTTTGATAATTATATCTTTTTATATATTATAACATTCAACTTTTGTTAGTATTATTTTATCTAAGAAAAAATAAAATATAACAAATTTCTATATATTTTTTTAATATAAATTTTTATTTTTTTTATATAAATATAAATTTTATTATTTGTTATATAAAAACTTTAATAATTTAAAAAATTTATAACTTTAACTATTTTTTTTAACCTTTTATTATTTATTTATAGTTTTTTTTAAAATTCAACTTTGTTAGTTTTACTTTATATATATAAAGTATAATAATAGAAAATAATTATTTAAATGTCATATTTATTCTTATTATAAACTTCAACTTTTATTTTATTTTTAGTTATATTAAAAACTTTAATATTAAAAAAAATTTATTTTCTTTTTTTTTCTTATTTTGCATAAATAAAAACTTTATTATCTTAAACTTCAATTTTCATTAATTTAATTTTTTTATAAATAAGTTTTATATTTTAATGAAAAAAATCAATTCACCAATTTACGCATAAAATTTAACCCGTGTTATTTGTATATTTTTTATTTTGTTATTTTTTTTTATGTAAACATTATGAACTCTTTATATATTACATGTTTTCCATGTAATTTTACAAATTTTGTATATTATAAATATTTCTTAAATTTTTTAGTATAATTATTATATAGTTGACATACAGTTTTTATTTGGGATTTTTATTATTATATCCAACAAATAGTTTTTTTAAATTTTTTATATTAATACTTTAAATTTTGTATTTTATTTTTTATACCTAATTTATATGTATATTTCATAAATTTTGTAATATTACATATTTTTTATACCCAATTTAATATATAATTTTTATAAATTTTGCATGTATATTAGTTCAAATTTTTATATAATTTTTATAACTTTTTCATTTTAATACTATATATTTTCTTATTCCAAATTTTTTTATATAATATTTAGTAATTTTATTTCTATTTATTTTTTATTCCAAATATATTACATATATAAATACTGAAAATTATTTATTGATTATCCCCAGTTTCACATATAATTTTATAATTTTCGTATATTATTAATTTTTTATTCCATAATTTTATATAACTTTTATAAATTTTGTATATCATTTATTTTATATTCCCAATTTTTTATATAATTTTATAAATATTTTATATTTATTTTTTTTTGTTCAAATTTTTTAATATAATTTTAAAAAATTTTGTATATAAATTATTTATTTCAAATCTTTTATGTAATTCCAATAAATTTTATTTATTCTGAACTTTTATATAATTCTATAAACATTGTATATTATTTTTTTATTCCAATTTTTTAATTTTTATGAATTTTATAGAATATTTATCCTTTATATAATAATAAATTTTGTATATATATTCTTTATAGAGAACTTTTTATATAATGTTTAGAGTTTGTGTATTATCATTTAGTATTTATTTTTTTTTATTTCCATTTTTTTTATAATTTTTATAAATTTTCTATTTTATTTATTTATTTTCAATTTTTTATATAATTTTTTAAATTTCTGTATATCGTTTTTTCTTTAGGTTTTAATATAATTCTAATATATGAATTAAAAGATATACTTTTAATTTTTTCTATAAATATTAGTTTTGTATATTATCTTATTATATAATTTATATTTAATTTTTTATTCAAAATTGTATTATTATTTTTTTTTAATAAAAATTTTGTCTATTATTTTTTAAAACAAATTTTTTTGTTATTTTTATAATAGTATTGTATATTATTTTAATTTAAAATTTTTATATAAATATCGTAAACTTTTATAAATATTTATATAATAATAATTGAGTTTTATAAGTTGTACCTTTTTTAAAGTTCTATAAAGGTTATTATATTATTATTATTATTATTTTGGTTTACTTCTTAAAAAGTCTAATATTTTATTTATGATTATATTAGCCGATTTTGGAATTGCGTGTCCTGAAAATAATAAATCTGAACTCGATAAAAATATAACAGGCTTCATTATTATTATTACTATTATTGCTATTGTTATTACTTTAACTATTCGTTTATTTGTTTCTATAGTTTATTATAGTTATTTTTATATTTTAAAATATATATTATTTTTTATAAATTAAAGAATACGATAACAGTAATAAATATTTAATAATATTAGTTTTAGTAATAATTAATAATAATAGTACTATTAGTCAAAGTAATAAATATAAATTAATAATATTCATCATTATAATTATAAAAATAATCGAAATATAAGGCTCTGCTTACTGGATGGCGCCCGAAGTTATAGAAAATATTGATACGACGAGTTATTTTCCTCCGACGGTTTCAATTTTTATTAATAAAAATAAAGTTTATTAGTTTTATATTGAAATTTATAATATATAAAAATCATAATAATAATAATAAAATATTTGTTTGAATGCCATTCGCTCCATGATTTTTGGGTATACTTATAAGAGTTGGACAAAATATATTATATAAATTTTTATATTAAGAAAAGTTATCCTTTAAAAATTTAATGATATAAAAAATATCTATAAGTGTATGCTATAAAACATCTTTAACTTTTGTATAACTTTTGTAAAATGGTAATAATATAGTAGCGATAAAAAAGTTAATATAGAGTTTTTAAAATAGTAATAAAAAATAGTGAAATAATTATTATTGTAAAAGTTATGAAGTCAATAAAAATTAATAAAGAAAATTTTAAGTATAGTTTATAAAAATAATAGTAATAAGTTATTTATAATAAATATTAATAAACTATTAAATGAATACCCAAAAAATAACCAAAGTTATATAGTTCTATTATTATTATTAAAATAATAATTATTTATATTTTACTATAATTTTTTTATAATAATTAATAGTAAAAATATATTTCAAATTTTTTATAAAACTTTAATTAGTTATAGCAAAGTTTTAATAAATTTTTATTATTATAATAATTTTCTTATATAAAATTTATAACTTTTATTATTATTTTTTTAACGAAATAATAGTAAAATTATATTAATTTTTAACAAAACTTTTATTAATTATAGTATAAATTTTACTTTATTTTATTAAAAAATAATTATAATTAGAAATAGTGAACTTTTTATTATTATTATTTTTATGATAATTATTAGTAAAATTAAAGTAGTTTCCAACAAAAATTTTCTATCTATAGCAAAGCTTTTACTTTACATTTATTATTATAATAATTTTTATCTTTGATATATAGAACTTTTTATTTATATTATTATTCTATTATAACTAATTAATAGTAGAAATATATTATTAATGTTAAACAAAACTTTTATATATAGAAGAGTTTATACATTATTATTCTTATAATAATTTTTTAGAAATATAGAACTTTGTAATAAACTTTTATATATCATGTAGAAACTTTTTATCGTTATTGTTAATTATTAATTAATAATACAAATAAATTATTATTATTATTATAGAAATAATTTAGTAAAAATAAATTTGTATATTATTAATAAAAACACTTAATTTTATTATTATAATAAATATTATTTTTGGAAATGTAACTTTTTTTATTAAAATATATTTTTGTATGGAATTATTATAAATATTAATATTCAACAGCGAAAACAATACAACAAGATATAAAATTTTATATTTTTTTATAAAGTTAACATCATTATTATTATTGTAAATAATCTATCATATTAATAAATTAATATAAGCGAAGTTTTTAAGTTTTTTTTACTATAAAAAATATTTTTTAAAGGATATATAACTTTTTAGAATGGAAAACTTTTATAGATTATTTTTAAAGTTATTATTATTATTAGTGGTAGTTAAAAAAATAGTTTATTAATGAAAATAAAGTAATAATTAGTAAAGTTTATGTATTTTCTTTAAGGATATATATTTTTTTTATTAATATAATCCTTATTGATGTTATTGTTAGTATTAAAAAAAGTAGTTTATTAATATAAAATAATGATAATAAATTATTTTTTTTTAAGAATATATAAATTTTTATGTTATAATCCTCTTTGAAGTTATTATTATTATTGTTATTATTTAATAGCAAAAACATAAAAATAATTTTTTATTAAATATATAATTTTTTTTTAAAATAATAAACTTTTATATATCATTTATAAGTTATTATTATTATTTAAATTTAATAGTAAAAATAATAAAAGCTAAATTATTGAGTACTTTTTTATGATAAAAATACATTTTAAAAAAATATATAAATTTTTTCTTTTTAATCTAATGAACTTTTATATATTTTTTTTTTTGAAGTTATAATTATTATTAGTAATGTAAATACTTATTAAAAAAGTTAGCGAAAGCAAAGTTTTAAGTATTTTTTTATTGTAACTATAATTTTTCATTATTATAAAAACTTTTTTTGAAATTTTTTAAGTATTTTTCAGAATAAAAAAATATATATTTTTTCCACCTCAATATTTATAATATCTGTTATTAGTGCGATATTTGGTCGCTGGGCATTACTATAATCGAACTTTTCGAGCAGCGGCCTCCACTTTTCGAGCTAAAGCCTCTTAATTGTCTTTATAGAATAGCCGAAGAAACTTATCATCCTTTTGTTACTGATTATTATTATTATTATTATTATTATTATTATTATTATTATTATTATTATTATTATTATTATTATTATTATTATTTCAACGTTTCTTTTAATTATATGTAAATGGTTTATTTTTTTATTGGTTTCATTGGTGCATTTATTATTATAATTAATTGAGAGCATATTTTTTATTTGTCCGTTATTTTACTGGTTTAGTGGTTCCAAGCTAATCGTGGTTTAGTTAATATTTATTCGTTTGTTTATTGGCTTTATTTTTTTCTAATATTACTTTTGTTATTTTTTCGTAGTAACTACTAGTATTAACCTTATCTATTCATTATATTATTATCATAATATAATGATAACGGTTACTATTATAATTTCCTAATTAATTTAATTATTTAAATTGGTTTTTATCGGCGCGAACGCGCTTTAAACTTTATTTTTTATTTTATTGGCTTATATTTCTCTTTTTTTGTTTATAGTTTGATTCGTTTATTTATTGGCTTATTTTTATATCATATTTTTTTTGGTATTTCTACTTACTTCAATTATTAATATTATTAATGCTATTATAATTATTATTTATTATTCATTATTATAATTTATTATATTTTATTATTAGTTTAAATTCCCTGAGAAAATATCGGAAGAACTAAAGTCTTTTGTTTCCACGTGCTTAAGTAGAAATCCTGATGAGAGGCCTGCAGCTTCTTTTCTTTTAAAAGTATTATTACTAGTACTATTAAACTTTTAAAAAAAAGTAATTTTTTAAGAAATAAAATAATAAAACATATGAATCGGTAAATATTATCAATAATATAAAAATTAAATATAAAAAGTTGAAAACTAAAACTATATTCTCTAATACTATAAAATCTTATTATTATTACTATTAAAATAATAAATAAAGAAATATTTATATGATAAATATTATAATAAAATATATAAAGTCGCTTAATAATAATATAAAAACTTATAAATAATATAAATATAAATATAAATGATTTGATATATGAGTGTATATTTATAAGTAATATTAAAACATAAAAAAAGTGAACAATAATAAAGTATTTATATATATTATTATTATTATTATTATTATTATTATTATTATTATTATTATTATTATTATTATTATTATTATTATTATTATTATGCACAGCACAACTTTTTAAAGAAGCCGGAAGCATATACACAATTACGGAACTACTGTAGTAACATAAGCACGACTTTAATAAGAACACCTTCTAATCCCTCTGCTAAACTTCTTGTAATAATATTTATAACAATAATAATATAGTAATATGTATATTCACTTTTTAGCAACAAAGAAAAAATACCAAAGCACAACAACTTACCAATAAAAAAGGTATACTATTATTATTATTATGGTTATAAAAACTATATATAACTTTATCGAAGGGTGTGAGTGGAAGATATAATAATTAATAATAACAATAATAATAAATAACAGTAAATAATTTTTTGCTCCTAAACGATAATAATCAAAATTTATATGTTATCCTATAAAATAACGCACGTTTTAGCACTTAACGGAACCAAATATTGTTTTTATAAGCGGATTTTAAGAATTCAATTGCTGCTAAATCAATTATAATCGCCCGTTTTTGTTCTGTTTGTGGTTAAATTAGCCAATTGTGTGTGGTTTTTTGCTTATTATATTTTTTCTATTACTTTTATATTTTTTTTATATTTATTATTTATTTATTAGTGACTTTTTTTACTTTTTATATTGATGTTATTATTATTTATATGTATTATTGTTACTTTTACTTATTATAATTATTATGACATCTATTTTCTTATTTTCTATCATTTTTTTAATAAATAGATAATGTTTTGGTTGTTTATCCTTCGGGGAGAACTTTGTATATTCTTATAGAACCTGTAAGCCAACATTTTTTATTACTTCTTATAATAATAATTATTATTATTACTTTTTTTATATGTAGTAATATTTATAATACCATTATTTTTTTACTGTTATGTTTATTGTATGATAATATAATTGTTATAATTATTACTACTGTAATATTTTTATTGCTATTAGCAGTACTACAATTATATTATTATTATTAATTATTATCAATTACTATTATTATTAATGTATTTATTAGAAATGGACAACTGCGGATTTAAAAAAAGAAGCTCTTAAAGATGTTCTTTTACATTACGAAAATTGTGTTTTATATTATCGTGCAAAAGGAAGAACTAGTAGTATTTTTTATATATTTAATAATTATTATTAGAATTATTATCTAATAACTTGTACTTCATTACTATTACTTTTAAAAAATAAAGGAAATATAATAGTTATTAATAAACAGTTATTATATTATTTATAATTATAGCAACAATAGTATAATATTAATAATAAATAAATCATTTTAATATTATAAAAAATATAATATTACTAATAATATTATTATAAAGTAATACTTTTTATAATGAAATATTGATATATTAAAGTTATTAATGACATTATTATATAATTAATAATAAAGAAGAACACATTATTACTGTTAATTATATTTATCACAAATTGTGATCAAATTGTGATGATAATACAATAATAATTATGATAGTGATACTAACAATACTTCTGTAATAATAAAAATAACTATTATTATTATAATAAAATAAATAATAATAAATATAGTAAAAGTAATAATAGTTATAATAATAATAATAATATACTCATAAGCTAGTTGGATCCTTCAGGAGGACGAGGTTATTAGCCATTTACTTCGAGAAAATGAGAAGTTACTTAAAACTTTAATTATTATTATTATTGAAGTATTTAGCATATTTTTATATAAAAGGCATTTTGAGGAGCACATGTCTATCAGACGAAAAATAGAAGTGGCGGGAGTTTTTCAGTTGTTTATAAAACCTTGTTTGCCCGCCATAAACGTTTTATTATATTATTATAATTATTATAATTATTACATTTCTTAAACAGATTATGGAAGAATTATTTTCGTTTCTTTCCAAAAGCGAAAGTAAACCCGATGAAGAGACGACTGACGGGCTTATCCAACTTTTTAATAAACGCCCACTCCGATTGGCTCATCATTTATTAAGACTAATTGATGTAATTATTATTTTAAAAGTTATTATATTCTGTAAGTAATAATTTTTTGCTTATTACTACTTCTGCTATTTTTCAGAAATCTATTTTTATTTTTTTATAAAATTTATTAAATATCGTATAAAGTATATAAAATGTTTTATTATATTCATTAAAAAAATATTTTTTTATTAATAATAATTATTTTCATATGTAAAAAAATTCTTTAAAAAATTATTATAAAGTTATTTTATTTTTCTTCAATATTATTGAATATATTCTACTAATATGTTTACTTTTATTACTTCTATTATTACTAATTTCCCTATTATTATTAATATTTTAAAATATTATTAAAAATAATTTATTATTATTAATTATTATCACTAAAACTAACGATACCCAACAGTTGGATAGTTCACTGGACTCTGCGCTGTTTGCTTGTTTGGTCCAGTTGAATTCTTTCAATAATTCTTTAGAGGACCTTATCATAGAAACTGCTGAGTTTGAGCTCGCAACATTGATTGGTTCACTTCTGTTATTATTATTATATTATGGGTGTTGCACTATTTTTGTTAAATATATTTTATCTTTACTGCGTTTTTCTTGTTAGTTTTTTTAAAGTTTATTGTCCAATAAACTTTAATTAATATCTTTTATTGTTACACTTTTTAGCATGAATGTATTAATTTTAGGTTTTTAGCCAATAATATTTAGGGCCACTTTTTTAAGCTCCATCATTAGCCAAATATTTAGTCTAAAATAAATGATTTATTTTTGGATGTAACTTTTGTGAAAATTATATATAAATAACTTTTTTATGCCGAATTTAAAAATTTTTAATAAACTTTAATAAAAAATAAATAATTTTTTTAATAATATTTTTATATATATAAAAAATATTTATAAACAATAATTTCTAGACTGCAATGCAATTTTGAGAGGCAAAAGCGTTTCAGGTACAGAAATAGTCAAAAAAAATTGCTAAAATTTCTACTTGGATTGGTTGTTTAAGGAAATCTTATAAGCGAATATATAAAATGGACTTGTTCGGATTGGATGAAATTGGTGCTGGCGGAGCCGTTGCCGTTGTTATTTTCCATTAAGCACTCGATAGAGGCAAGTATATAATAATATTAATAATAATAATAATAATAATAATAATAATAATAATAATAATAATAATAATAATAATAATAATAATAATAATAATAATAATAATAATAAATAAATAAATAAATAAATAAGTAAAATATATTTTTCACTTCTTTTATTTTTTTATATATAATAAAAGTTTTTCTTTGTTTTTATTATGAAATATATTATACAATTATTTAGTATTATTATATTTTTATTAATAAAAGTTTTTACTTCTTTTTCATTTCTTTACAAATATATTTTTCGAGTCTATATTATTATTATATTTATACAATAATAAAAGTTAACATTATATATTATTTTTATATAGCTAACCAAACCGAAAACAGCGAAATCGGATTTAAAAAAAAACGTCGAAATTGTAGGAAACTTGAAAGATATTATCTTCAAGTCGTTTTTATCCAATCTGAACTGTTTGCCAGCGTATATATAAATATTTATATACTTTATATATGGTTTTATATATAAATATATATTTACTTTTTTTATTTAAATTAATATTTATAAACTATATATAGACTTTTTATTAAGTATTTTCATATGTAAATATTTATACTTTTATAAAATTAAATATCTTTTCTTAAATATGCCAGCGTATATATATTTATATTTATACTTTTTTTTTTAATAATTATTTTTTATTATTATATATTTACTTTAATTTAAATATATACATATAAATATATTTATACTTCTTAGTTAATCTTTGTACTTGTATTAAAAAATTTATATTTTCTTAATAGTTGTATATATAATAATATATACATACTTTTTTTTAAAAAAAAACTTATTATTTTTTTTATATATATATATTTTAAAGCGAAGCAAAAAACTTAATAGTAAGTCTGGAGATTTTAGCAAGGAATGCAGGCGTACCGGCCTATAATGTATTATTATTGTTATTATTATTTTTATTATTATTATTGTTGTTATTATTATAAACCCTTAAAAGGTGGTAAAGTATATTCTTTTTGATAAACTTCTCATTCCTGCACTTCTCTCTCCTGAAAATTTTGGAATTGGTATTTTTTATATTTATGATTTTATAATATTTTTAATAAAGCAACTATAAAAGTATTTGAAATTCCACCGGCCGGCCAACAAACGTTGACTTTCATTACTTCCGTTGTGAGCGCTGTAGTCTCTGGAAAGCCAATCACCGGCCATTATTTGAAGTTGTTAAACGAGCGTATTGAATTTCAGAGTAAAACTTGATTGTCTATTATTATTATTATCATTACTATATAATGAAATTTTATAATTATATATAGTAAATTATATTTTTTTTTATAATACTTATTAGTAAAAAATAACGTTTTTATGATGAATATTGTATTAAATATTTTATTTATTAAAAACTTAAGAAAGTTTTTTTTTTTTTTAAATAATTTTTTATAATAAAATTTTTGTTTATTATAATTTTTAGTTTAAAAATTTAGAAAAATTTAGTATTTTTTTAATATATTTTAAAAAAATTTTTACTATATTTACCTTTTTTAATAATTTTTTCAACTTTAAAAGTAGAAATATAATTTTTATATGATAATTCTTATTTACTGTTATTACTAAAAATTTATTAAACCTTGATTTTTATATTAAAAAAATATTTTTTTTACATCTAAGTTATTTAATAATACTATTTATAATATTTTTATTTATTTTTTCTGTTTTTAAAGTTTTTTATTACTTTAAATTTTTATATGGTATAATTATTTATTAGCTTTATAAGTAAATATACATATTATTATGCTTATTATTTATTTTTGTTTATTATAAAAAATATTTCTTTACCATAATTTATGTATATGAATTTCTATGAATAATGAATATTAGTTAACTATAATTTTTATATATAGAAAATATTTTTTATTCTTATTATTTATAAATAATGAATATTTGTTTATCATAATTTTATTTATACAATATTTTTTTAACTAAAAAGTAAAAAATATATTATTTTGAATTTCCTTAAATATTTATATATAATTTTTTATTAACGTAAAAGTAATTTTAAAGTTATACTAATATTTTTTATTAAAATATTCTTTACATCAAATATTTTTTTGTAATTTTTTAACTCATAGTAAAATATATTATAGTTAATATTGAATTTTTTATAATTTTTATATACAAAAATTTTTTATAACTCAAAAGTAATAAAAAAACTATTATAATTTTTTTTTCTTATTAAAATATTTTTTGTTTATTATATTTTAACTTTAATAGCAATCTATTATATTATAATTATTCTTTTTAATAATAATAAGTAATTATTTTTTCTTCCATGTTTATATGTAAAACTATTAACTTAAAAGTAACTTAAATTATTTATAATTTTTTATTTTTTTTTGTATTTAAGTTTATAAAAATTTACTTTATTAAATTTTACTATAATTTTATATATAAAATATATTTATTAACTCTAAAGTAACTTTTTTAATAACTTTTATTATTTTATATTTTTTTTATGATTTTTTAACTATAAAAGCAAAAAAATTAATTTTTCTCATAATTAATAATATTTTTATTCTAAATGAATAAATATTTACAATAATTTTTATGTAAAATTTTGAATTTACTATAATATAACTCAAAAAATTTTCTATAAATAATTTTTGTTCGTGCTTTTTTAGTTATAAAAAAAGTAAAATATTTTTTTTATAATTATTTTTTATCAATAGTAAGGTTATATTTACTATCATTTTGTATATAAAATATTTTTTTTACTTCACAATATATAAAAATATTAATTAAAATTATTTTTTAAATTTTATATTTTGTAAAATAATTTTATAAAAATATTATCTATTTACTATTCTTATATTCTTACAAATAATTTTTTCTTTAAATAATTATATACTTTAACTTTGGTTTACTATCTTGTTATTAATTATAAATAATGATTTACTATGAATTTCAAAAATTAAGTATTATAATTTTAATATTATGTTTTTCTTATTTTCTTATAAGTTTTGATTATTACTTTTATTAACTGTAATCCTTTTAAGAAATATTCATTTTAAATAAATTATTGTATTACAATAATTTATTTCTATAAATTTTTCTTGATCATTTTTTTAACTCTATAAATACTTTATAAAAATATAATTTATTTTATTAATAATACAATCCATTTTTTAGAAGTTTTTATTATCTAATAATTTTTCCTGAAAATTTTTTCTTTAACGTTATGAATACTTTTAAAAAATATTTTTTTATTTTTTTGTATAATTTTTAAATTTTTATTAGAATTTTTATTAATAAAAAATTATTTTTCTAACACTTTTTATCGTTTATTATTTATAAAACTTTAATCATTTTTGCATACTTTTTTATCTTGTTTACTATTTTTTATTAATTTTTTTAATATAATAATGGTATTAACGCTTTCTTTTTAAATTATACTCTTTTTTTCTTATATAAAGTTTTTTTTGGTTATTTTTAAGTATTATAAATAATTTTATTACTTGATAAGTTCTATAGAAAAATAATTAATTAACATTTATATATAATTTTAAATTTTTTTAAATTTTTATTTTTTAGGAGAAATTTTTACTATAAATTTTTTTTTCATTAATATTTTTCTAATATACTTTATTATTATATATAATTTTAAAAAATTATTAGAGTTTTTATTTCATTAATAAATTTTGACTATATAATTTTTTTCTGTTTATTTTTCTAAGTTTATACATACTTTAAAAATTGTTTAATATGTTTTACTTTTATAAACAATTATGAAAATATTTTAAAAGTTTTTATTTTCTTTAATAAATTTTAAACTGTAAAGTTTTTTATATACAAATTTCTTAACAGCAAAATTACTAAAAAAATATTTTTATAAAAGTTTTTATTTATTATATTGAACCTTAATTTTTTTAAGAAATATTAATTATAAATTTACTTTATAATACATTTTATTTTGTATAGCTTTCTTTATTTTATTAAACATATTTTAACCATAAAATTTTTTATTTATATTTATATTCTTTAGAATTGCTTTCAAAGAATGTAATATATTTTCTTTATAATAATAATTATCATTTTTAAAATTCTTTATTATTTATATTTACTTTATTCTATAATATATTATATTTTATAGTAATTTTATATATTATTAAATATATTTTTACTATAAAATTTTTTATTGTTTACTTTTTTTTAACTTTAGAATCACCTAAAAAAAATTTAATATATTTACTTTGTAATAGTATCCATTCTTAAAAATTTTCATATTTTTTTATATAACAAAAAAATATATCAATAATATATTTACTTTTTATATATTATATTTTATTTCATATAGTTTTTTATTATATCATTAAACACATTTTTGCTCTAAAAATTTTTATTATTTACTTTTTTATTAACTTTAGAATTACTTTAATAATATATAATATATATACTGTTATAATAATCACCCTAATAAATTTTCATATCTCATATAACAAAAAAATGCCAATAATATATATACTTTTTTCTCTAAAAAATAATTTTTTTTTAAAGTTTCTTTTTCTTCTAATCAACAATTTTTACTAATTAAAAAATTTTAAATAAACTTTAGAATTACTTTAAAAAGTATTATAATAATATTTACTTTTCTATTTAAAATAATTAATTTTTTTTTAATGCTTACTATGAACTTTTTATTAATTATTTTTTTAAACTTAATAAATTATTTTTAGGAAAAATATAATACATTTTACTTTTATGTAGTTTACATAATTTTTTATATAAATATTTTACTGTTAAATATTATTTTAACTTGATAACTTAAACATAATTATTATATATTTTACTTCCATACAATTTTAATAAATTTTTATTATTGATTTTTTATATTAATTCTTTAAAAAAATAATAATATATTTTTCTTTTATGGATTATATTTAATAATTTCTCTAAAAATTTTTAACTTTTTATTATTTTTTTAACTTTATAGAGTCTTTATTCAGCTTTTACATTACTTTTATTCAATTTTTTTAATGAATTTTCTAACATATTTAATGAACTTTTTTTTGAAGACAAAGAAGTGGATTGTTTACTAGCAAAAAGTTTCGAGTCTTTTCAAGGAGAATCCAAAATAACTGTAAGTTTTACTATAAATAAATGTTATAATGAAAGGGTTTGAAAAACTTATTTTTAAATATAAAAAAGGCTTTAGGAAATTTTTTTTTTCTTTATTATTCTAAAAAAGTTTTATTTTTTATGAAAATGCGTTTTCTTTTTAAAGTTTTATTATTTAATTTCATATAAATAAAAATTTTGACAGAATAAAAAAATAAACTAAATTAAACTTAAATAAACTGAACCAACCTTACTGTTAGCTTAAATCCTTGGCTTTCCGGCATTATTTTATTATATACATTTAAAAAAATAATAATTTTTAAATACTTCATTATTTTTAGTTTTCAGGTTATAAATATTTTCACAATATTTGATGAAATTTTGAAAATTTTTTTTAATAATATTTATTTTAATATTTGATCTTTAGCTTTAACTTTCATTATGCTATTGCTTATATAAAAAAAATATTAAAATTTTAAATACTTTGTTTTTAGTCCTAAGATAATTTTATTTCCATTGTAAACAATTTTTTCTATGATATTTATTATAACTGGTGATACTAACTTTTTTTATATTTTTGATGTATTCTAATATTTATACCAAAAAAAATAGTAAAAATTTTAAATACTTTATTATTAGTTTAATGATAATAAAAATATTTTTCATTATATTTCATGAACTTTTTAAATTTTTATATTGACAGAATCTATTATTTTTCATATTTTATATAATATTTTCTTATTTGATATAAATAAGTTACAAATATTTAAATTATTTATAGTTTATAGTTTAAAATATATTTGTCATTATACTTTATGAACCTTTAAACAATTTTTTAAAGATTTTTTTTTAGTTTTTAATTTTTTAATCTTAATTTTTATATATTTTTTATGTTATAAATTTTTTATTATTTTAGTGCAGAATTATTAAAAAAAAATTTCAGTTTTTTAAGAGCTTCTAAACTATTTTTATATGAATTTATTTGTGTTTTGTTTTTATGATAATAAATTTTATGACAATAAATTTTATGAATTATAAAAACTTAATTATCTTTTACTTGAGAATAGTAAAAAAAGTTGTCTATTTTTTTTAGGATTTTTTTTCTAACAATTTCTGTATGAATTTTTGTTTTTTTAATATATAAAAGAAATTGTGATGATTATTATAAATACTTAATTTTAAAAGGTAATAATATTTTCATTAATTTTGGGAACTGTTTTAATTATTTTTGTACTAATTTTTAAATTTTTTTTTTCTATATATAAAAAATTGTAAGAATTATAAAAACTTACTTATTTTTATGAAAATTTAAAATTTTTTGAATTTTTTGAATTTTTTAACCATTTTTGTATTAAAATTTTTTTTGTTTTATTTATAAAATTGTAAAAATTATAAAATCAATAAAAATTTATATTGAAAGATAATAAAAAATTTATTATAATTTATGAACTTTTTGAACAATTTTGTATTATAATTAATTATACTCTATAATTTTTAGGTTAAATTTTAAATTGTATATATAGAAAATGTAAAATTTTGATGTTTTTATTATTTTTAGGTTTAGAGAAAATAAATATTTTTCCCTAAAGAACTTTTTAAACAATATTTTTAGTGAAATATACATCCGATTTCATTTTTTTTAATTTTTTGTATATATTTTTGAATATATCATTATGTATAGTTTAACTTTTCATTATATTTTATCTCCTTTAAACAATTTATTTTAATAAAATTTATTTTATTTTTTATTTATTATTCTTTTTATATTTTATATAAAAATAAAATCTTTTAGTATTATAAACTCTTCATTTTTATTAGTATAAAGCTAATAAAAATAAACTATTTATTATTTTTTATGTACTTGAACATTTTTTTTTAACTTTTTTCTATTTATATAATAAAAATAAAACTGAAATAATTTTACATTTTAAATTGTGAAAATAAAACTTTTATTATATTTTAGTACATTCAATTAATATTTTAATGTACTTTGTTACTAACAATTGATTTATTATTTATAAAATAAGCTGAAAATTATAAACACTTTTTTATTAGAGCGAAATTTTTATAGGAGCTTTTAATATATTTAAAAAAAAAATTAATTTCATTCTATTCCATGAACATTTTATACCAATTTTTAATGAATTTTTTCAACCTTTTTTATTATATTATTTATTTATCATAATATAAAATCTGTTCAAAATTTCAAATACTACAATGTTTTCAATGCGAAGTGTTTACTTTATGAAAATTAAAAAAGATACTTTTATTTTATTATTTTTAGGTACACTTGAATATTAATTTTTCATTTCTTGGTATTGCGAACTTTTTTATATAATTTTTTTAAGGAAAATTTTGTTACAATGAGTTTTGTAATATTTTTTTTATTATACTTTATTATAAGGAAATATTTATCTCACAAAAAAATTTTAAAATATAAACGATTCAGTTATGATAAAGTAAAGTTGATTATTAACTTAATAAATAAATAATAATAACTATTTGTATATTAAAGACAACTTACTTATTATTTTTAGTTTAAAAGTTTTAATTTTTCATAATGTTTGCTATTTTTAACAGCCTTATCGAAGAAAAATCTATAATAAGACTGAAATTTGCGAATCTTTTTTAAATGTTTTGAATTCCTGCCAAAAACAAATCCGGTTGCAACTGGGATATAATAAAAAAATAAAATAAAGAATTATAAATTATATGATTTTCTATATGGATTATATAAAACTGATATTTATGTAATTTTTTCAATCTTTACTCTCAATGAATGAATTGTTTGAATAATATAATAAAAAAGTTGATATATTAAAATAAAATAAATTGAAAAACTACATAAATATAATTATTTTTGGTAAAATTTAAATAAAACTGATATTTATTTTGGTTTTATTTATCTTCACTTTTTTTAAAAAATTAATATAAGAAAAAACTTTGACAAAAGTTGGTATGTAATTAAACAAATTTAATTAAATTGCTTTTTTTAATTTGTATATAAAACTGAAATTTATTTAGTTTTGTAGACCTTGTCTATTTAAAAATATAGTCACGAAATATAAAAGTATAAAGTAATTTAGCAAATGTTACAATATGATGAGAAAAAATTTAAAATTTTAATAAACTGATATTTATTTAGTTGTGTTGGTCTTTAAAACACAAATAGGATTACATGAAATTTTGCTAAATTTAGGAGCATTAGTTAAAACGAATTATTGTTTAAAAAAAAAAAATTAAAAGGCTGAGTGCTAGAGGACTGAAGACTCCTGAAATTTTCATATTAAGCTTGCACTTATGGAGACATTCTCTGGTGTGTAGCCTATACATATATTTGCAGAATTACATAGAATGATTTTCTTATTGACTCAAGCAACAAAATTTAATTAAAATGAAAAAGAAATACTAAAAAAAAGTTTTAAAAGTACATCATAAATAAAAGAAAGTTCTGAATGATAGTTAAAAAGCGTAAAATTGATGCAGTTAACAAGAAAAAGTTTTTAAAGTACATGGGCAAATTGTGCATAATACTCTAAAAGTTTTAGCATGAGCAAAAGCAAAAGATTTTTTTTTGTATTTAAAAGAAAACTAAGTGTAGTAGAAATAATAAAACTTATATAATATGAACTGTTTAATATTTTAAGCAACCGAATTATAACTTTTAAATAAGGATTTTTTTTTTTTCAAAAAAAAAATTAGTAACTTCGGTAAAACTCATTGTTCAAATTACTTTAGAACTCTTCAGTAGTAACCTAATAAAGCGCACTTTTAAATTAACTTCGTTCGGATATATAAATACGTGTAGGCCGTTTTTTTTATAAAAATTATATTTGTATTATCAAAAAGTAACCAGCTGAACTAGTCAAATTTTTCCCATAGTCAAAAAAAATGTTCATTATTATTCACAGGCTAAAAAGTAGTTCTAATCGGCCAAAAATGCTCGCTTATGAGAATATACTAGCCATATAAACCTACGCGGTCTAGTTAAAGTTACAAAATTTTAAAAAAATTAACTTGGAAAATTTTAAACCGCCGCTGTAATACAGTGGTAAATAAAAATAATATATAGAAGTCTAATTTTATATTTGGTCTGCTATAATAAAATTAATATATAATAATAAAAGAATAATAAGATTTAAATCTATATCAACAAGGATAAAATAATATTGCCAATTTATTTTTTATTATACTAAAAAAACGTGCTTGAGGAACCATCAAAATTAGTTAAAATTATTACTATGTAAAATAATAAATTTCTTTTCTTAGAAGGGCCCTTTTTTCGAGTGTATCTCCATGAATTTGCTATATCATATTTTTTTAATTGATCGCTAAAAGGGATTTCAGTGAAAACCTAATTATTATTTATTTTATTAGTTACAAATTTTTTTGCCCCTTAACGTCGTTTTTTCCGACTTAATATTAGCTCTTTAAATTAACTCATTTGGGATATATCAGCAAAAAGAAATGTTTTGCACCGTAAGCAAACTTTTTATACCACCACTTTTTAAACAATGAAACAGCAGAGTTGCAACGAAAACGTTCTAAAGTCTAAATTTACACCAAAACTCGTCAGCTACTACAAGAAGTTAACCTGCAATAATTTTTAAAGGTTCGTGTTTGCATTGAGTTTTCTTAACCTGTTTAAAGTACCTAACAAAACTACAAAAATATTTATCAACTTCGAGTAAAGCGCCTTCCGGGCTCCTCTTGACAAATAACCCTCCACGTGAGCAAGTAAAAATTTGGGGAGAGTAATTTTTTTAAAAGGTAAAATATATAACACCAGCAAATTATAGAACGTGGTTGGTTGCTTCTTTTTCCACTTCCTTGTCTCCCCTCTTCATTACCTTGTAAGCACGTACTCTTCTATGCACGTACTAAATTATACGTCCTCTGGATCTCGTCTTCTACATATAATTGCATAATTAATCTTTTTTAGTTATTAACTATTTTTTTGGTATTTCTTAATTTTTTTATTTGAATTTAAATTACTTTATCTATTTCACGTTAATCACGTATTATATTATTACTTTTGTTCAAGATTATAACATTTTATTAGTTTATCATAATTTTTTTTATTGCAAGCTACTATATTATCCACTTCACTTTAATTACTTCCTATATTATTACCTTTCTCATGTTTTCATAAAAGAACTTTTGTTTATTTATGCGGATACCTTCGATAAGTACATCCAACAAGCTTGGCAAGGACAAAAACCAAAGGGTATTTCTCAGCTTCGTCACTGGCTTATAGACGCTAAGCTAGCTTTAATCACCCAAGGAGTCCATGTCCTACTTTTGCTTCAGGCGATGCGGAGATAAGTTTTTCAGATATTAAAGAAGTCTGCACTAGTATTTAAAAAATAACTATGAACAGCCATCATAACGAAGTAAATAACTAAATTGAAGAAATTAAAGTTTAAGAACTAGATTGCTATCCCATTGTTAAAGATACCTTTGGAAGAAAGTCAATGTTACCCTTATGAGCAAAGTGCAAGAGTTTTCTAACGCCACGAAAAATCACAATGAAACAGTTTAAATATTGTAAAAATCTATTCACGACCATTCTAATCTAATTAAGAACAATGCACAGGAAAAAATTAATTCCTATGTGTAGGGAATGACTGCTCTCTATAAAATTATTGCCTTCATTCATCGAACCGGACATTATTTTAAATATTTTCTGTTACTGAAATATTATAGCAGTAACCTAGTTGCCTGGACAATAAATACGCTCTTAAAGCGCTTTTTTAAGTAGAAACTAAGCATAATGTTGAAACTGAGTCAATATGTTTTTCTGTTAATACACTCCAAGAAAATAACTATAAGAGCAAATATTAACCTAAGCCGCTTCAATTTCATTGCAAAGACTGCCGAGTTCGTCGCTTGAGATAACTATCTTTTTTCTAAGAGAAAAAAAACTTGCAAATCTTACAGAAAATTGGGCTTATTGAAACGGCATACCTGCTTAAATATGGAATAGGTCTGATTGACATAAAATGGTTGTGGGCACGGGCGCTTTGTAACCTGCCAAAAAAATGTTATTAACACAATAAATGGTCATTCAAAAGCTTATTTGATTGGAAATTTAAATTACCTTGATCATGGTAAAGCCAACTTTTATAGTAACTTCAAGCATAACCCAATTTCAGTGTGCACTCTATATGAAAAAGGTTTACGTTTACTTTAAAGATAACAAATTTTTAATTTAAAAACAAAACAATATTGTGGACAAGGAAATAAAAGAGATGGACTAAGCATTTTGGCTCTAAAATGCAAATAAAAGTTTTTCTTATTGACAACGACAGATAAAATCTTTTGTGACTAGTATTTTAGAAAAATACTACATGTTCGGTCACATTAGTCATAATTATTTAAAAAAAATTTGTCCGACATTTCTTATTTTAAAACGAAGATCGCGATTCTTAACATGTGAAATAAGAAAAAAATCAGCAAGTTTAGTGAAATCCATGGTTTTAGGAAACCCGATTTAATGATATATATAGACACTCTAACCTGGGACGTTATTACGTTCGAGGGGTACAATTATGTTATTTGCACCGACGCGAAATTAGAACGTGTTACATTATTATTTTCTAATTTTAACAATAAATTAAACATTTTAGTTATATGGATTTAGCGCTACAATAAATTCATAAAGAATATTAAAATTAAATAGAAACATTACAACCGCTACCATAGAGGAAATAAGAACCAATAACGCTAGCGAATTTATTAACTACTCATTCAATAAGACTTACAAGAGAAGGGTCTCAAGCCATCAACTGTACCTAAAGATACTTTTCAATACATGCTAAATGAAAGAAGCATTTAAAGCTTATCTAACATGACCCGAGTATGTTAAAACAGTCTAAATTTCTTAAAAACTATTGGAGTGAGGCTATCCGTGATGCAGTACTAATATTTAATAACATACCAAAGAAAGAAGAATATTAAATTTTTGGTTTTAATTCCAACCTTAATTCATTTAAACCTTTAAGTCTTATATTGTGATCTCAACTTTTAAAAGGAAATCGCAAGATAGCGCTATGAAGTTATTCCTCTATTTTAACATTAGATTCCACCGAGAACAAACATGACATACTTAGTATTAACACAGTGAAAATTATAAGGTTCAGAGACGTTATATGGATTAAGGACGTGTTTCCTTTTGACAACAGAAACATAATTCAAACCACACTTAGATCTTTATCTATCCCTTTGCATAAAGAGCACTACCTACCAAACCGCTTTTACTATGAACCCTGAAGTAATATACAGCCGTAACACGGAAACCAACAACGTTATTAATGCATTTAAGGAGGACAGAACATCTGAACTAAAATAGAAAACAATAGCTCATTTAGAAGAGCTTGGCCTTGAATCTTTAAGTAAAGATACAGTCTCGGGATCAATAAATAACCTCAAAAAGGATTTACTCATCATAATGCAAAATAAAAACCTTATAAGAAACAGTCGGATAAAATTAAAATTCATGAAAATTTTAAGATTAGAAATATATTTGAAGAAGTAAAATGCCTTTAAGATGGGGAAGAAAACGACTGCGGAAAAGAACAGGTACTATAGAATAGAGATATACATTTCAGTGAGGGTTACGAATAGGGAAGCAAAAGACCCTCAAGTGTTGCGGACGACATGTTAAAGAAGAACAGGTTATCGAATGCCTTTTAACTCAAAACTTAACATATTCTAAAAATTATGTAACCAGCAGAAAAAATGAACTTACATCATTATCAGAGCATAGTGGCCTCGATATTACTATGGATTATATTCCATAAGGTTAACTAATTTTACGACGTGTAGGTTACATTTTAAATCAGATAATCAATACAAAGCCATATTAGTTGCCAGAGGCTTTTAACAAATTTTAATTCTTTTTATCAAGCACTTATTTCTTCAGTGTTATCTAACTCTTTCTTTAAGACTACTTTGCAAAAATACGTAATTTAGCCATACACACGGAGGACAAGACAACGTCATTTTTACATACAAAATTACATATCCTGTATTTGCACATATACTACAAGGAATCTATTTAATAAAAATTGAATTATCCTATCACTAAAAGGACCACCTCGGAACTTTACTGAACAACAAAAGGAAAATGTGCATAAAAATTTGTTACTCTATACGGTCTTTAAGGGTCTTCAATCAAGATTTTTCTACAAGGCCTAAAAATTATGGTTGCAATTAAAGCAAAGTAGATGGACCTATATCTTATTCGAATAATGACATACATAACTGAGGATCATTAACTTCTTTGGTCAATTTAATTACGTTCTGATTCAGTTTGCTAGTTTTTATCCTTTTCCTGATATCACCAAGTGAGTGGTGAAGGCGAGATTTTGGGTCAGGTCTTTAAACTATTGCAGACTGTTTTGCAGCTTGCAATAAAGTTGACTTTTAGTGTTCGGAGGGAAATCCTCAATGTGGGCCCTGATGAGATTATACTCCTTTTCTAAACATCTGACCATATAATCCTTTCTCTTTATTAGCAGAGTTGCTTTATCGCTTTTATTTAAAGGTGGACTGAGTTCAACTTTGGTAGTATTCCTCAGTGATAAGTTGAATTTTTTTACTCCGAAACAAATGTAGGCATTTACGTTGTTAATTATATTGAAAATTTTTTAGTGACCACACCTCCTTTATTATTAATATGAGGAAATAATGTAATTTAAGAAATCTGTAAAAATTCAAAGAATTTTGAGAATTAACATCGACGGGCAGGCACCTCGACGCCTCCGACTGTGTCAGCGTCACAGTAAATTCATAGATATACAATGCTGCGCCTTGACACGTTAGTGTCTGCTTAAGATTCGTATATATATATAGGCCGAACATATGTCTATGTTCGACGCCATCCTGTTAAGTTAAAGTCATAACAGTAACTAAATCTTACAGAAACACCATATTGACAAGAAAACATTTTAACACTACCTTTGTCAATTAACACAAAGCTGAAACCCCCTTTGGATGGGGGTGCTAATGCAACCATTTATAGCCTAGTGGAGTCACTACAAACATCGCTGCTAATACTCGCACTAATATTTTAAATGTGCCACTTCCTTGCATAACCGCTTTCTACACTGCAACAGTGGTGAATCCATAAAGTGCTCGTTTCAAAGGATAAGGTATCTCAATAATTCTAAAAAACTTTCTCTAGTAATAAATTATTAAGATTACCAATAAAATAAGGTATTAGTAGAGTGCTACTGTAATGCTTTACGGGCAGACACCCGTGATTATAAGACTACCAGGGGATATTTTATCCTTGTTAATCGCTGCCCTTTGATTTTTTCATTTGCGGAAATTGTATATGTCAACAATTGTATATCCGTCATGTCCCAAAACTTAGTGGTCAGAACCTCTAAAAGATATAAATCTTCAACACAAACAAAAAGGCAAAAGGAAACGAAACAGCTACTTCAGCACAAATATATGGTCTTAAAAAGACTTTTAATACTATACAAAACCTCTTGGTTGTAAAATCTTTGTATACACATTATAAAAGGAAATCAGATGATAGGGCCACAGAAGGTGAGAAGCTATCAAAACCCCATGACTATGCACAAGAAGAAAATATACGGAATATTAAACTTAACAAAAGGGATTATACACGCTATAGGGATATTGTATAATCTAAAATATATTTATCCTTACGAAGATAAAAAAAAAAAACGAAAATTATTAACGTGTTTAAGATTTACATATAAACGAACTTTAAAAATTGAACAATTAAACAATTATGATCGAAGATATGAAAATTAATTTAAATGAAATAATAGTGGCAATACAAAAAACAATCATGATATTAAACCTCATGGAAGTAACAGAAACCACACGCAAACTACGTTTTGACCCCCCCCTCCCCTTCCCTCTAAAAAAATGTTAAATTTACAAAAGATGCAAGGAAACAAAGATAAAAGCTCAACAAAATACAGAGCTTATAATTTAAGGTCTACAGAAAAACTGACAAACAAAAATGCACCAAATACGCACACTAAAATAAATTAATAAGGAAAACAAATATGGAAACAATTTGTTTAAAAAAAAAATTCTATAAAACCAATACAATCATCTTACAACGACCAGAACACAAGAGATGACGAAAAGATACAACTAAAATCGCACGTTATTTAAAAATCGTCATCAATGAACGAAAGAATACACTGACGGCTATTAAAAACAGCAATATTCCAAACCAACAAATAAATATAAACCTTACAACAAAAACCTCTCCCAAAAAATATAGAAAACGTAAAAAATGAAAGTTATACTCCAGAACTAACAGTACAATTGATAAAAAACAAATCAGTGAATGTGCTAATGGACACCCAATAGATACAGAAATCACAACGGCGAATCTCGCACAATAAACTAATAACTGACATGCAGAACCCCTAAGAAAAGCACCGTAAGACAACAGTGGTAACAGAAAAAGATGAAGGCAAATAGCTAAAACGAGAACAGTCTATTAACATAACTTACTAACATTAAATGAAGCTAAAATTTTCGAAGGGAAAAAGAATATATGAATGCAGCGCGCAAAGAACTTCTATTAATAATTGAAAGTTTGGATCGTTTAAGTATGCATTTCATAATGTTACACAAAGTTTGTATACTTCGTTCACTTAACATATATTGGTGGGTACCTGTGGGTATTGAGCTAAGTATAATTCTTTTTGAGTTTAGTTTTCTTTAATAGATGTTTATAAAATCACTTTTTTTTTAACTCTTATTTTTTTTCATTTATTGCCGTACTTAAGTTTTTATTATTAAATGTTGCGTTTCTAATGTTTTTATTATGGTTTTTAATCCATATATGAAGTTTAAGTCTAATTTCTTCTTTTTACTAACGAACAACGCAATTGTTTTATTTGATCTAGCATCTGTACCCACAATTACTCTACCTATTTGTAGCCGTCGTACGAGGGTATGTTTCATTCCAGTGTGTCCGCATATAAAAGTTGGCCAGGTTTTCTTATGTTATGAGCTAGGCTTTTTTTT